GTGTGTCTCTCACAACCCCCCTTGTGTATCTCAGCCCCTTTGTGTGTCTCTTTCTTCCACCCCAGGAGTTGAAAGGGGTGGACAGGGGCTGTGGTGGGGGCAAATCAGGTTACATGGGCTGAGAGTAGGGACAAGAGCTGTGGTGAGGGATGCAGGCCCTGACAAGGGGTGACACAGGGGCTGTAGAGGGGTTGGGGGGAGACAGGAGCTGGAGAGGAGAAGGACAGGAGCTGGTGAGGGGGGAGACAGGAGCTAGGCAGGAGCTTGAGGTGGGGACAAGAGCTGGAGGAGGGGGGACAGGAGCTAGAGAGGGGGGTGGACAGAAGCTGTGGTGAGGGGTGGGCACAGGGGCTGAGAGGGGGACAGAAGCTGAGAGGGGGACAGAAGCTGTGGAGGGAGGTAGGGGCCCTGGGGGGCATAGGGTTTCTAGAGGGGGACACAGGGGCTGTAGTGGGGTCTAGGGCTGTAGTTGAGGGATATAGGCTGTGGTGGAGGATATGGGCTGTAATATGGGGGTTAGGAAATGTAGTGGCAGGGATAGGGACTGAAGTAGGTTGATGAGGGACACAGGGGCTGTGGTGGGGACACAGGGGGGTTGGACAGGGGCTGCCAATTTTTTTTAAAAAATTGGATAAAAACAAAAACAAAAAAAATGTATCCCTCCTCTCTCTGAGGCTTACCTTGGGCCAGGGACGGGTGAGACAGGAGCTTGCATCCAGCACACAGCAGCAATTGAATTTGTTGCTGCTGCCCAGGAGTGATGGGAGTTTGAGCACAGGACTTGTTTTTTTGTATTTGTATTCACTTTTTGTATCACACAGCTATGTTACAATGTTGCCGCCCATCCCATGTGTTCCCTATTAAAGGTTAATAAGTATGTAGGGGTGTATATATAAATAATACCCCTCTCTGTCTCATTAGAGATATCTCTGCCAGAAGCTCAAGGAAGCAAGGTGTAAGGTTAGTGTAGGACGCACCTGAGAGGTTTGCCTTGACGTGGCAAGCGGGCATTCCCTCTAATGGCCATTGGTGTAACTAAATAACCTCTATTTGTTTAAAAATCCTCTAACTGCTGATTGCTGCCGAAGGCTCCAATGACATCATGTATAATATTGGGGACAACTGGCAGCCCTGTCTGGTTTAATTTCCCAATGTGAACCATTCAGAGCTAAACCCGTTGCCCACCACTTCAGATACAATGACATTATGGCTCCCAATATATCTCCCTCCAAACCAAATGCCATCAACGAATATCGTAAATATCTCCACCCAACCCTGTCAAAGGCTTTTTCAACATCTAACGACAGGGTTAGGAGGGGGATCCTATTTTTTTAAAACTATTTCCAACATAATTCATTTTCATATATTAGTAGTTGCGTATCTACCCTGAACAAATCCCACCTGGTCTGGATGGATTATTTCTCCAATAATCATATTCAATCGCGCTGCTAAAATATAATATAATTTTATATCGACATTTTGAAGCGCGATTGGTCGATAATTAGAAACTTCCAAACTACTCTTATCCTGTTTCAAAATTGGAACTATATTTGATTGTAACATTTCCATTGGGATTGGATTTCTCTTAGCGAAATCATTAAAAAGTTTAACAAGTTGAGATTTTATATTATCCTTCAAGATTTGATAAAACTTATTAGAAAATCCATCCGGACCAGGAAACTTGCCAATTTTGAGGTTCCCAATAGCATTATTTACCTCTTCTTCCCTAAAAGGCAGATTTAAAAATAACAATTGTTCTTGCGTTATTTTAGTTATCTTACTCTTACCCCTCAATATCTCTATCAGAAGGCGCTATAGGCAAATCATATAGAGTCTTATAATATTCTTGAAAAGTCCATCCTATTTTCTCTGGTATCATGAGAGTCTGATCTTTATATAGAATTTTAGAAATAAATTTATTTGCTTTTTCTTTTTTTATTTAATTAGATAATAACTTATCTGGTTTATTACCCGTATAATACCATTTTCTCTTTTGATTATTGAGCCTTTCATTTGCCCTTATTATTAATGAGTCATTCATTTTGTTTCTCTATTTTGATAATTCTTAACGTATACTCCCTAGAGGGGACCTCTTTATTCAGGGCAGTTATAGAGTCTAATTGTAAATATAACTCAGGTAAACCTAGTAGTTTATTTTTATTTTCGTGTGTCACAATTTCTAATTTAATGACCACGTATTCCACTTTTATAGCCACACCATACTGTGGAAGATGATACCTCTTCACTCTCATTTTCTTCAAAATACAACTTTGTTGTATTTTTTAAAAGTTCAACATGTTGTGGTTTATTGAATAAATAATCAATTCGTCTCCATGAAGAGTGTTTGTTTTCAAATTCATCCTTTAATTGTATCATTATGGCATTATGATCAGTCCAGGGGGTAGTAATATTTTTTTTAATATTCTTAATAATTCCAATATTTGTCATTATACAATCTATTCTAGAATAAGTAAGCACAGTCTTAGAGAAAGAAGTATAATCCTTTATATTGGGGTTAAAGATTCTCCATTTATCTAATAGTGCATAGTTCTAAATTAACTCTCTTAATCTTCGTGCATTATTACATGCATTCCTATCTATACTTCTCCCCCCTACTGACTTTCTATCCATGGCTGGGTCCATTAAACAATTCAGATCCGCCATTAGTATAATATCTCCTTGTTTAATCCTCTCTATCTTATTCAACACTTTTTTAATAAATTTAATTGGTTAGTGATTCGGTGCATTTAGATTGGCAAATGTGTATATTTCAATTTCTTGATGTATAAGTTTAAAAGATAATTAATTAGAGAAAATGAATGCCACTCCTCTTTTTTTCTTATCCATTAGTGATGAGGTAAATATATATGGATATTGACTGATTTTAATCTTATTGTAATGCACAGATATGAATCTGTTCTTTCTGGAGAAATTGTAATAATATTGCCCATTTTTTAGGTGAATTGGTGCCATGGGCGTTAATCGTAACTATTTTAATATCAAAGGTATCACACACGTTTCCCCCTTATTTTGAGCATATAGGTCATCCCTTATAGACAGCAGAATCCCCCTCCTGTTGTTATGTTGCATTAATTTTAATACATCCTTTATAAATCCCCGAAAAAAAACCCATTCCCTTCCTCTCCCAGGGTGATCCACCCTAAGAAAATTCCAGTGCATGAAGACAATAGCATGAGAGACAACAATCCTCTCCTCCATATCTCCATGCTCTGGATTCAGAAAGACCGTCAACACGGTCTAGTTCCAGTATCGATGCTGGCAGAATTTTATGATAATTTATCGACTATTATTTTTGACTGCCAATATACACACCTAAAGAGAGAAAAAAACACATAAATTCTAACTTTTCTGCCCTAATTCCTATAGTTTCTTAAAACTTAATCTGCCAAGATATCGCTCAAATACTCATGTGCACGTGTCTATATGATTATATCTTATTTACTACCTCTGTATTCTTTCCCTTTTAATACTTAATTCTTAATATTTTTGTAATGTTTATATAATAAATTGTGTAATTACCCTCTATTATTACTTATGGTTTACCTATTCATATACCCTGTTGGATCTTATATTCTCTCTTAGTGATAAGTTTATTTGATTGTATTCCTTATACGTGTTTTTAATATCTCTAATTATGATAAACCAATAAACCATTTGCTTTTCACACTGTTATCCTATTTAATTTAACATTTTAAACACATTTCAGCTACTTCTGTCTCCTCCAATGTCTATTAAGATGTAACTGTGACAAACTCCCCTTTCCAAATGTATTTGGACTATATGGTTCGGGAACTGAACAGCCGCACGAACCGGAGACCACTTTGTAGCAATTTCCACCGCAGTGTTCTAAGTGTTCGTCTGGGTGGCCACATTTCCTCTGAACGATCACAAGATGGCGGCCATCTTGTTCACATGAAAACAGTCAGCGGTGTTTGGTTGTCGAATTCATGGAACTATTTTGGACACTGAAACTCCTGAACACCGCTGGACTTCCGTGATCGCCTGTGTTTGGTTTTATAACACTTAAGAAGACATTGTGCGGTGGAAACGTTTCCACGAACAAGCTCCAGGGTAAGACTTTTGAATATGCTTGGTACTTTGTTCGTTTTTTAAACTACCGAACTAGACCGTCCGCAAGCTTTGATTCTCTGGAACTGTTTTGGGCATGGGACCATGCGTGCGGTCGGTCAAATTATGACTTCCATGAAATTTCTGAACTGATCTGGGTGATTTTTGGATATGTTGGTCACCCATATTTGGGCTATCAGGGGATGTAACTTTTGTGGGGATTTTGTGTGTCTAAAGGTATTTTGGGGGTTATGTAAAATTGTATGTTTTCTGTGCCTGTAGATAATTGAGTTTAATACAGTGCTGACTCAATTATCTCCCAGGCACAGGCAAGGGATTGACCCATTTTGCATGGTAGTGTCCTGAACCCGAGAGCCAATGTAATCGTGTGTATGTTTTTACTGTAGTCTATTCTCTGTTCCAGGAAAGAGTGCACGTTGCATGGGGACCTGCATATAAGGCCAGTTGTGGCTGCCATTAAATAGATTTGTTTTACCCTTCATGAAGTCTAGGCTCATGTTTGGGGGATTGTAGAACTATATGCACTCTGGGGATTGCTATCATCACTATACTCCCTTGGATTATAACAATTTTTTGTAGAATAGCAGCCTGCTTTGGTCTCTGGACTAGGAGAGGTCTACCCACTGGAAGCTGGATCCTGGTCTTTGGTCCAGGGTGGGTGAAGGACAGTGAGACCCCAACCGAGGTTTGTGGGGTTTACGGTGGTTATGGTGTCCAGTGCGGTGCTTATGGTACTCAAGGATTACTAGGAAGCAGCGATTGATGGAGGTACCCGTTGGGGTGCCAGGCGGTCCATCACAGTAACACACTGCACAGATGTCTCATCACAAAATTATTTATCAAATATCACATTATCAAATAATTGAGGTCATGGATGCATGCGTCAATATTTGTGCTCTCATTTTTGTCTTTTATTAAATTTTTTAAAACTGTTCTTAACATAAACAGATGTAAGTCACACTTTTACACATGATAAAGAAAACGTGATTTAGATCATGGTATAAGAAATGTGATAATCAGTTTTATTTTAACTATATGTAATTCAAAGTTCACAATTTAAAAAAAAGATATCAGTAGACAAAATGTATTGATTATAAATAGAAATGGTCTCATAAAGCTAGCAGCATTTTCTCCTGAAGTAACAGTACTGGAAATAAATGTGGTGATCACATACAAACTTTACTACTGTGCTACCAGCCATTGGAAAGACACACGCACACACATTACATTGTTGCCTTTGAATTTATCCATGTCTTTTGAAAATGGCTGTTTTGTGCTCTTCACCAGTTTCACTGGCATGGGTTTAATTTATACTTCAACTCTTCTGACAAACTGTCCATTTGTTATAATTCCTGAAAGATAATAGAATAGGAGAAAAAAAAAAAAAAAGATAAGACACGAAAAAAAGAGCAGAAAGGGACTTTTTTATAGGAATATACTAAAATACATAGAAAATGTTATGAAACATTAACATTGCAACCCACTTTTTAAATTTAGTTGGAAATCTGTAGAAAGTGTTTATTTTTCTTCTATTCCTGCCAAGCATGGGAAGGAACACTGCTGGTGATATGAGTTAGAGGGCTACACCTTCTTAAAGACACTTTCATACAGAGTTATTTATTAGAGTTAGAATTGCTAAGAATTCAAATTTCAGGGCCAAATGCTGAACTGGAAGTACAGCTGACTTTGAGATTTTTTTTTTCAAATTCGGCTATTTGGGTCTTAAATGCAGGGCTCTTTTTATATTCAGGGAGCTCCTTTTTAAGTTAAAAGGTATTTAAACCTACGGTACATGGAAAGCTATTGCCGCAATCTGTTGTTCCAATGCATCTCACAGATAAACATTAATATAATCATGTTACACATTGATGACGCCGAATGTGAGGATCTTCGAAAATCAAAAGTCTTTAGAAAAAAAGAGAAATATCTTTAAAAACCAGATTACCCTTAGGTTCTTTAATACCTTCAGTTATAAAGATAGTTATCCACTGCTCAAAAAAATAAAGGGAACACTTAAACAACACAATGTAACTCCAAGTCAATCACACTTCTGTGAAATCAAACTGTCCACTTAGGAAGCAACACTGAGTGACAATCAATTTCACATGCTGTTGTGCAAATGGGATAGACAACAGGTGGAAATTATAGGCAATTAACAAGACACCCCCAATAAAGGAGTGGTTCTGCAGGTGGTGACCACAGACCACTTCTCAGTTCCTATGCTTCCTGGCTGATGTTTTGGTCACTTCTGAATGCTGGCGGTGCTTTCACTCTAGTGGTAACATGAGGCGGAGTCTACAACCCACACAAGTGACTCAGGTAGTGCAGCTCATCCAGGATGGCACATCAATGCGAGCTGTGGCAAGAAGGTTTGCTGTGTCTGTCAGCATAGTGTCCAGAGCATGGAGGCGCTACCAGTCCAACACCATGCAGGACTTTTGGCATTTGCCTGAGAACACCAAGATTGGCAAATTCGCCACTGGCGCCCTGTGCTCTTCACAGATGAAAGCAGGTTCACATTGAGCACATGTGACAGACGTGACAGAGTCTGGAGATGCCTTGGAGAACATTCTGCTGCTTGCAACATCCTCCAGCATGACCGGTTTGGCAGTGGGTCAGTAATGGTGTGGGGTGGCATTTCTTTGGGGGGCCGCACAGCCCTCCATGTGCTCGCCAGAGGTAGCCTAACTGCCATTAGGTACCGAGATGAGATCCTCAGACCCCTTGTTCCCCGGTTGGCCCTGGGTTCCTCCTAATGCAAGACAATATTAGACCTCATGTGGCTGGAGTGTGTCAGCAGTTCCTGCAAGACGAAGGCATTGATGCTATGGACTGGCCCGCCCGTTCCCCAGACCTGAATCCAATTGAGCACATCTGGGACATCATGTCTCGCTCCATCCACCAACGTCACGTTGCACCACAGACTGTCCAGGAGTTGGCAGATGCGTTAGTCCAGGTCTGGGAGGAGATCCCTCAGGAGACCATCCGCCACCTCCTCAGGAGCATGCACAGGCGTTGTAGGGAGGTCGTACAGGCACGTGGAGGCGACACACACTATTGAGCCTCATTTTGACTTGTTTTAAGGACATTACATCAAAGTTGGATCAGCCTGTAGTGTGTTTTTCCACTTTAATTTTGAGTGTGACTCCAAATCCAGACCTCCAAGGGTTGAAAAATTTGATTTCCATTTTTACATTTTTGTGTGATTTTGTTGTCAGCACATTCAGCTATGTAAAGAACAAAGTATTTCAGAATAATATTTAATTCATTCAGATCTAGGATGTGTTATTTTTGTTTTCCCTTTATTTTTTTGAGCAGTGTAAAATACAATAATTCAACATGTGGCTAATATGTTTGTGTTTCACACAGACAGAAGTAGAGCACATAGAGAAGGGTGTATTTCATGTACAGTTTCCCGGTAAGTTGTATGTGCTCTTTTATGACATAGTAATTCGTAGTGGCTCTTCTTATCCCAGGAATCAGCTTATCAAACTATGCTTAGTAAAAGTCATTGTGTTTTAGTTGGACCTGCCCAAAATTATCTAGCATTGATATGACCATTATCTGCTTTTTACAAATTAAGTGCCTTGCATTGTTTGAGTAAGGATGAAAAGCACTCTCGCAGATCCCTCTGGAACCTAGAACAGTGGAGCTATGACAGTGAACATCTCATTCCTGAAATCAACCATACATTTTACATTAAACTTAGAAATGGAAACTAAATAAAATGTGATGGTAATTGAATAATGCAGAACCTGATTACGCAAAATGGATGATACTGCCCTTACAATCCATAGACATTCAGCTTCATAAAAGACGGAGCAAAAAATAAGTAGTGGTGGTATTATGCACATACACGTGCCAGTGAACTATCCTAAAAAATAATTTTGTTTCCCTTCCTGCATTGATTTTATTGCTTTATATAACCTACAATTACCGTCATCATCTACCAACCACTGCAATTTAAATTCTAAATTCTAAATTATGTTTCCCCAAATTTAATTTGTCGATTTGCTCTGAAAAATTAGCAAATTAGCAAATACAGAAATTCCAATCCTATGATCAATCCAAGGTTTAATCATACATTAATATCGTATTATTGTATTAGTGTAAGTACTCTGTGCCTCTTGCTCGCTCACTCACTCAGTTACTAACTCACTCATTATTGTTTTCACTCAGTCTGATTGTGAGTTAGAGATATTCCCTCCAAGTCCTTAATGTCTATCTGATATATGACAATCTTTTAACATTAATGTAAATGGGAAGCTATTTAGGACACGGATAACTTAGCTGTCTTTTCTGGTGCAATGATTATTTGACGCAGAAAGTGTGTTTATTTAAAACGTAGACTTTTAAAAATAAAAAGACCCACATATTATTTGTACTGTAGACTGGGCCGGATTAACATAGGGGCTGATGGAGCTACAGCTTCAGGCCCAGGCCCATGGAATAGGCCCACTGATTTAAAAAGAAAATAAATATATATATATATATATATATATATATTTTTTTTTTTTTTTTTTTAACTTTTTTTTATTTTTTACACATTACTCTTAGGGTTGCCACCTGACTGGTAATTTATGGTATTTGAGGATGCCTGACCAGTGCCAGTATTGCAGTAAAACCGGCAATACAAATGCCGGCATATTTCTATGTATAAACAGAGATTACTCTGCAATACCTGCGCTGGTCAGTAGGGGTCACTGTGTGTGGAGAGAGGCAGGGATAGGAAGTTACAGCATATCCCTGCCTCTCTCTACTTACTGATTCAAGAGGGAGCAGCTCAACAGCAAAGAGAGTCTAGACAACAGCTCCCAGCCTGCAGAGACAGCCTACAGTTCAGGGAAGTGAGGGAAGGGGTAACAGCTGCAGGGAGACATGGGGACACTAGGGGACACTGAGGGACCTGGGAACACAGACACTGGAAGATCAGGGGACAATGAGACACTAGGGGATGCTGTGAGACACTAGGCACTTGGGGACACTGGGAGACATGGGGACACTGAGACACTGTGTCCCTAGCGTCTGTATCCCCAAGTTTCTGTGTCTCCATATCTTCCAGTCAGTGTCCATAGTGTCTCAGTGTCCGCATGTCTACCAGTGTCCCCTAGTGTCCCCACGTCTCTTAAGTGTCCCCTAGTGTCCAAGTGACACTGGGCAACATGGGGACACGAGAGGACACTGGGAGAAATGGGGCATCGTGATACATAGGGACACTGTGATACATAGAAGACACTGAGACATGAGGGGACACTGGGACACTGAGATACATAGGGGACACAGACACTAGAGGATACTGGGAGACATGAGGACACTGGGAATAATCCATCTTTTATTCAGCAGAATAAATGTAAGTAGTTTTTTGGTGATTTTACAGAATTATCTCTCAGGTCACTCCTTGTGATTTACAAGCATACGTAATAAATTATGCAAATTAGAAAGGCCGGTATTTTTTTCCAAGAAAGGTGGCAACACTAACTATCCTTCACATACTCTTGCTTAAGTATGGAGACTTTAGAGGGATTTTTTATTTATAAAATATTTTACCAGGAAAGATACATTGAGATTTCTCTCGTTTTCAAGTATGTCCTGGGTTGTATGGGAACAAAACTTGTGTGCACTGGCTGACAATGAAATAAGTTAAGGTAAAGCTGACTTTGTGCACAATGCAAATGATCTTGCTGCTTCAGTCTCTCTAACACTGTGGCATGTTCCCGTTCTTACACACTCACTACATACATCTTTTCTCTGTCCCAGATTGTATACCAGGAGCTTCTGCCTGCTCGTAAGGAGGTTAGGAAATGAATGGACCAGCAAGTGCTAGGGGACAGTCCTTAGAAAGCATGGAGCGAACTCATCATTAGACGCATTTATGCCAATCTCAGAGTGCTGTCTGCATAGTATGCCCTTAGTTGGCCAGCTTGCTTGATTGGTAGGCAGCCTGACATGCATTCATGCCAGGCTGGCCTTCCAATTCTTTAGGCAGACACTCCCCCTTTTTAAGGCATGTTCGCATTACATGATTTGCATCAGTGGCCCACCCTTTTACCCCGCCCATTGACTGCCTGCTTCACTGGACACTACTGTTAGGGGATATGGATTTACTTGAAAGAAGAAAGCATAAATTAGAGAGAGATTAGCATAGAGTGTTTGTTTTCTCATAGCTGCATCCAGTTTCCCTTCAGCACCACTTCCGCCAGATACATGACGATTGGTAGGTATGACTGTTTTAGTGTTTTTGGTCGATAAGATTCTGTAATTAGGCCCATGATAATTGTCAGCACCAGGCCCACTGGGCTCTTAATCTGGCCTTGACTGTAGATACATGTTATCAAGATGCTGCAAAACATTGTTTAGTTAAAGAGATGCTTGTGTCAAATAAGAAAAGCATAATGTTGCATCAGAAATGATGGTATGAGATGTGTTTAGGGTGTCAGTGTGTGATTGACATGGGGTGTCCAATATAACATTTTCCTATAAGGTAAAATAACATGTTTTTTTTAACCTTACCATAATTAGCATAGTCAAAAATACATACTGAAATTCACTGCTTGATAAATACATCAGGGCAGTGTGATTAGTTAGAACAGACTATTTAGTTAGCTTTCAGCGTAATCCCTCTTATTAAAGTTACATATTCCTTTTACTATAATGAAATAAATGATCAAATGGTGCCTTATGCATTTTACACAGGTATGTCACTCATGGTCCTGGTGTCATGAGAAGAACAAATAGCAATGTGACATTTCTGTTTATAATAAGCTATACAAAAATAACGTGAATGGAGTGTAATTTACCTAGCGATGATGATCCCTACAAATTGTGAAAATAAATAGGATACTGTAATGCTTTGTTTGTCCAGGGATTTCACTTGAGATGTACACTGCATCTGGAATGGTTAAGTTTCTGTTGATGTGTGCATAATTAGAAAGGGAAAAGATGGGATTTTTTATGTATATTACTTTGCTTGTGGTATATCCAGCATCGGAAAAGGTTACTCCTATCTTGATGTATGAATGGGAAGGAAGAGCAAAGGTGGGGTTTTATAAGTTTGAATGGCTGGCTGAATAGCAAGATAATTTTTGGCAAGTGGCAAAAATATTGTTATGCAAACACAAATGATCCTAATACAGAAAGAGTCAAAAATATAATACAGACATTTATTACAGAGGGAGTTTCCACTATCCTTGTATTTGTATGGTTATCTGCTAGACTCTACGTAGGCTGTGTCCACATTCCCTGCTTACAAAATATGCAGTACCCAAACATAAGTACAAAATAATAAAGTGCTCCAACAGCATATCTTCGCCTAAATCTGTACTGGATGAGAGTGATGCTTATAACATATGTGACAAAACCCAGTATTTCCTTGGCCCAGTTATTTTCCCTGCATTCGGAAGATTATTCTACCGAACTTCAAAGAAAACCACAAACTTACGTGCTCTCTCTGCCGGTTGTATAACCGAACAACATGTGCACTGGAAAATGGGGGTCATATTGTTCCTCGAAAACAGGCAGCGCTACCTATGAGCCAGGGGAACCGTTTGTCTTGTTGTTCGTTTTGGAAATCCTGAAAGTGACCGACCGCTACCACTTTTTCTCTGGAACTATTTTGGGCAGACACCACGTGTGCGATAGTTAAAACTTTACTCCGGTGGCAATTCGTCTGTGTTCGTGGGATCTGAGCGCCATTTGGATATGTTGGGCGCTCAGATCCAGGCTATCCGGGGAGACTTGTGGGGGTTCCTATGTGTGTTTTATGTATTTTGGGGTATTCTATGTTTTATTTTCTGTACCTCTAGTGCCTAATTAGTTAAAGGACCACTCTAGGCACCCAGACCACTTCAGCTTAATGAAGTGGTCTGGGTGCCAGGTCCTTCTAGGGTTAACCCATTTTTTCATAATTATAGCAGTTTCATGAATGGGTTAAGCCTTCCCCCTAATCCTCTAGTGGCTGTCTCATTGACAGCCACTAGAGGCGCTTGCGTGCTTCTCACTGTGATTTTCACAGTGAGAGCACGCCAGCGTCCATAGAAAAGCATTGTAAATGCTTTCCTATGAGACCGGCTGAATGCGCGCGCAGCTCTTGCCGCGCGTGCGCATTCAGCCGGCGGGGCGGATCGGAGGCGGAGAGGAGGAGGAGAGGTAAGTTTTTACCCCTTTCCCCCTTCCAGAGCCCGGCGGGAGGGGGACCCTGAGGGTGGGGGCACCCTCAGGGCACTATAGTGCCAGGAAAACGAGTATGTTTTCTTGGCACTATAGTGGTCCTTTAAGCAAAGTACACTCAATTATCTTCCAGACACAGAGACTCCTGGGCGTGTTTTGCTATGTTTTTGCTGGAGACCCCATGCGTATAAAAGTCTGTGTATAAAAGTGGGCCATCTGGTCTAGTCTCGACTGATGTTTGGGTGTGTGAACGAAGAAGCGCTTGATTTTAACCACAATCTACTGGGATTTCGGGAGAGTATGAACTAGCATGCTATGCGAACATGCTATAATCACTTAAGCCTCTAGCAGGCTGAAACAACACTGAAAGATCTGCTGGAAGCTCGGGGTTGGTCGGCGAGCAACAAAAATAAATCAGCAATCATAGCCAAACTGATGGAGGGCAACCAAGCCAGCAATACAGCAACAATAGGTAGAGAAGTGCCGAGTTCCAGAGAGATGTGAGATGGCGGGTCAGCATGCTGGGACCAAATCCTTCACAGGAGCTGATCGTCCAGCTAATGGAACAGGTTACAGCAACACAGACAGCATGGCAGTCCAGAATGGATATGTATCAAGGAGATACAGCATTGCTACAGTAATCCAGTAATGGAGGGCAGGGAAAAAAGGTAAACTACGCTGCATTTAAAAACTTTGTAGATGGGGAGATGGACATAGATGCCTATTTACAAGACTTTGAAAGGCAATGTGCTCTAGAAGACCTAGACAGAGAAACTTCCCTTACCTGACCTGCTCGCACTGTCTCCGGGTAGCATAGAGCAGGTCAGCCTAGGGGAAAAACTAAGCACACTAGAAAGGGCTGAGGCCACCCAGCTGGTCCAGGGATACCGGAAAATGTTCTCTGCCCTACCTGGGTACACCTCCACTGCGGTCCACCGAGTAGAGACCCAGGGAGAAACCCTACTATGGCAGCAGTGTTACCGTATCCCTGAAGCAGTTAGGGAGAACATGCTGGGCTTCTCCGGTAGTGCTGGTACCTAAGCGAGACGATACGACTCACTTCCGTATTGACTACCGTAAACATAATGACAGGACAGTCATGGATGCCTACCCCATGCCCCGGATAGACGAGCTGCCAGATCGTATGGCCGGGGGGGAATTACTTAACTACCATAGATCTGTTTAAAGGATATTGGCAAATCCCCCTGGAGCCAATGGCCATCCCTAAGTCGGCATTTATCACCCCGTTCGGGCTACACAAGTTTAAGGTTATGCCTTTTGGGATAAAAAATTGCCCAGCTACCTTTCAGTGGATGGCCGACAGGCTCTTGGAGGGATTTTTTAAGGACTTGGCTTCTGCATATTTAGATGACATAGCCATCTACAACCGCACATGGGAGGACCACCTTCGGTACTTATCTATAGTACATGAGCGAATTCAGGCAGCAGGGCTCACCTTTAAGCCAGACAAGTGCCATTTCGGTATGGCCGAGGTACAGTACCTCGGCCATAGGATATGTTCAGGCCAGCAGCGACCCGAACTCACCAAAGTAGAGGCTATTGCCAACTAGCCCCAACCCCGTACAAAAACTCAGGTACTAGCGATTCTAGGGACCGCGGGATACTACTGCAATTTTGTTCCCGAGTATAGTGCCCTCACCAAGCCCCTCACTGACCTGATCAAAAAGTCCCTCCTCAGACAGGTAGTATGGTCAACCGGAGTGCGAGGTCCCCTTCCAGGATCTGAAAGCAGTGCCAAACCATACTAAGAAATTTCTTATCCACACAGATGCCTCCATGTTTGGGCTGGGAGCCGTGCTAAGCCAAGTGGGAGGGGAGAGGGAATGGAATGGAGCACCCGGTGGCATATCTCAGCAGAACACTTTTACCATGAGAAGTCAGCTATGCCACCGTGGAAAAAGAATGCTTGGCTATTGTATGGGCATTAAAGAAGCTGCAGCCCTATCTTTATGGTCGTCCCTTCCCTTTAATGACAGACCACAACCCCCTCATCTGGTTGAACAGAGATAGTCCCCGCCTTCTGCGTTAGAGCTTGGCTCTACAACCCTACAATTTTACCATGCAGTACAGGCCAAGCAAACAGAACGGCAATGCAGATGGATTATCAGGGCAAACGGAATTGGATCCTTAATTTATCCCCCTGGACATCCCCAAGCCATGGTATGCCGCACCATGGGACTGGGGGGGAGCAATGTGACAAACCCAGTATTTCCTTGGCCCAGTTATTTTCCCTGCATTCTGTAGATTTTCCTACCGAACACCGACCACCCCCCACAAACTTAAGTGCTCTCTCTGTGCGGCCGCCGTTCGTATAACTGAACAACACGTGCTGTACTTGGTCGTTGAGTGTCTGGAACTCTAAATCAGACACTCGACCCCGCGAACACCGGTAATTTGGTATGAACGCCTGCTTTATTTCACGACAAGCCAGGAGAGCGCTGTTCGGTAAGATTGTTAGCATGAACCAGGCGAACAATCGCTACCTATGAGCCAGGGGAACTGTTCGTCTTTTTGTTTATTTTGGAACTCTCAAAAGTGACCGACCGTGGGATCTGAGCACTATTTGGATTTTATGGGCGCTGAGATCCAGACTATCTATGGATATAAGACTTGTGGGGGTTCCTATGTGTGTTATATGTATTTTGGGGTATTTTATGTTTTATTTTCTCCACTTCTAGTGCCTGGGAGATAATCAGTTTAAGCAAAGTACACTCAGTTATCTCCCAGACACAGAGACTCCTGGGCGTGTTTTACTATGTTTTTGGTGGAGACCCTATGCTGGGGGTCTGTGTAAAAAATTGGGCCATCTGGTCATATTAAAACATTCCTGTTGTACCCTTCATCAAGCCTGGAAGTTTGGGTATGTGAACAAAGAAGCAATTGATTTTAACCATGATCAAGCACGGAAAGCCTGGGGTGGAGGAAAAAAGGGGGAGATGGGACAGATAAAAAGTATCAATTTGAAATAAATGCAACTATATTAGTTACAAACATTTTGTTAATAGGAGGAGTACAATTTATGGAAATGGACTGCCAAAGGGTACTTAAGTGAAAAAAGGTTGGGAACCACTGCTCTAGAGGGATGTAAGTCCTCGGTTCCCTAAAAATGGATCAAGCAATGGGGAACTGGATTTTTGGGTAGAGGTATTGGAGATTGTGAACTCTGCAACAACAAAAAAAATCTGGTTATTCTCTCTGATTTGGGGATAATTTGAAAATATTTCGATTTGAGACTGATTTAGCTGAATTTTGTTTTATCAAGTGTACATTTAAGTTTTTATTTACCAAACAGTGAAATCAGGTGAATTGAAAACTGAACTGCTAATTTTAGATTAATTTAGTTTATTTGTTAATTTATCAGATGCAATTACTAATGTTTACTGTTTAGTGAATTCTTTAAAAAAAATAAAAGCAGATGTCATAAGTTGAACCCCAGAATAACACAAATAATTTTCGTTTTTTCCCCTTCATTCCTCCACTATAACCAATTTAGCCAAAAAATCCCTATTAGTATTTGTCCAAATTCAAGATAGTGTTTGTAATAAACTTATCATGTTGTGGTAGGAAATGACTAATAAAGTGACAAGTCAAAACAACATATATCGTGACAAACAGCAACTATGCAGTATCTAGACTGCTGTCAAGCTCTGTTTGTGACGGTAGTCACAATCACTGGGAACAGAAGGACACTTTACAAAGGTTCCTAAATTGTTCCTATGTCTAAGCCACTCTGTACCAATTATATATGCAGGGCAGGGGCGGACTGACCGGTCGGGCACTTCGGACACGGTCCGAGGGCCCGGCCGGGAGGGGGGCCCGCCGCCAGGGCCGCCTTCAGGGGGCCCGGCGGCAGGGCTAGATTGTGGGCGGCATTTGGGGACTGCAGGTGCCACCGGGTGGCCGGTCCGGTGGCACACTGTGAGGGGGCCGGACGTTTGATGCTGCACCCGCCGGACCGGGTGGCAGCCTCGCCGGTCCGGCGGCATTCCTCTCAATAACACTGAAGGGGGAGGAGGAGGAGCATGTGTCTGTCATGCTCCCTGCGGTTCCCACAATTCCCAGCACAGGATGTGGGAACCGCAAAGGAGCATGACAGACACATGCTCCTCCTCCTCCTTCTTCTTCAGTGTTATTGAGAGGAATGCCGCCGGACCGGCGGCTCCAGCATCAAACAGCCGGCCCCCTCTGACTTTAGTAAGAGGGGGGAGAGATGGGGAGGGGGGAGAAAGAGGGGGGAGATGGGGAGAAAGAGGGGGAGAGATGGGGAGGGGGAGAAAGAGGGGAGAGATGGGGAGAGGGAGAAAGAGGGGGAGAAACAGGGGAGAGATGGAGAGGAGAAACAGGGGGGAGAGATGGAGAGGGTGAGAAAGAGGGGGGGAACAGATATGGGAGGGGAGAAAGAGGGGACAGATATATGGGGAGGGGAGAAAGAGGGGGAACAGAGAGATGGGAGGGGGGAGAGATGGAGGGGGGGGAGGAGAGGGGGAGATGGGAGGGGGGAGAAAGAGGGGGAACAGAGAGATGGGAGGGGGAGAAAGATGGGGCAATAGAGAGATGGGGAGGGGGAGAAAGATGGGCAATAGAGAGATGGGGAGGGGGAGAAAGGGGGGAACAGATGAGGGGGGGGAGAAAGAGGGGGAATAGAGAGATGGGAGGGGGGGGGGGACATAGAGATGGGGAGGGGGAGAAAGGGGGGGCAATAAAGAGATGGGGAGAAAGAGAGGGAAGAATGAGACACAAGGGGAGAAAGAGACAGAGAGGGAAGAATGAGACACGGGGAGAAAGAGAGGGAAGAATGAGACACAAGGGGAGAAAGAGACAGAGAGGGAAGAATGAGACACGGGGAGAAAGAGGGGGAATAGAGAGATGGGGAGGGGGAGAAAGAGACAGAGAGGGAAGAATGAGACACAGGGGAATAGAGAGATGGGGAGGGGGGAGACAGAGAGGGAAGACAAGCCTCCCTGTCCCGCGAGGCACCGCGGCGGCAGGGGAGTGAAGAGAGACCTGGGAGCCACCCTGCAGCTCCTCTGTCCTTCTGAGCACAGAGACAAGAAAGGCGTTACCATGGCAACGTTACTGCTCTTGCGAGAGTCAACTCTAGCCCTGGAGCTACGGGCTAGAGTTCACTCTCAACACTGTAACCCCCATGGATTCCTGGTGGTCGCAGTGGTGAGAGTGAACTCTAGCCCCATAAACACACTGCCCCCACACACACACACCATACACATTCACACACTGCCCCCATACACACCATACACATTTACACACATTGCCTCACACACACACATACACTGCCCACCCATATACACACAGACCCCCATACACAGCCCCCCATACTAACATTGCCACACACATACACTGCCCACACACCCTACACATTCACACACTACACCCCCACACACACACTGAACCTTTCACACACATTGCACCACTGCTCCTATTCCCTACTACAGCCTCATATCCCAGCAGATCCCAGGTAAGTTGTCAAACTGTTCTTAAATGGTTTGACTACTTACTCTGGAGCAGTAGTGGTTATTGTGCATGGATTATTTCTTTAAATAATCTACAAGTGCCCCAGTAGCCAGCCAGCCAACCCACAGGCTGGCCAGTAGCCAGCCAGTTAGCCAGCCCACAGGCCAGTAGCCAGCCCACAGGCCTACAGCAAGCCACAGGCTTACAGCCAGCAAGCCACAGCTTACAGCCAGCAAGCCATAGCCTGCCAGCCGCAGTCAGCAAGCCCACAGCCTGCCAGCAGTAGCCAGCAAGCCCACAGCCTGCCAGCCGCAGCCAGCAAGCCCACAGACTGCCAGCCAGCAACAGTAATTAAGGTAAGAGGAGCCAACTTGGCTTAGGTATCAGCGAGCTATGTTGTGTTGCTATATTGTGAATAGGAACCAGAGTGTTGGAGAGACCACCCTCCAGGCCCCATTAGACTCTAGCCTCTGCTAGAAATCCCCTCCATGGCCCATTAGCCCTCAATTGTAGTTTCTACTGGGGCCTGGAGGCGACTGTTTCCAGCAAGGGATATCTAATGGACGCTGAGATGGCCTCTGTTAGAAAGACCCCTTCCAAGCCTTTTAGACTCCATTGTAGTCTCTAATGGGGCTTGGAGGGGATTCTATCTAACACACTCTCTAAAGGACACTGAGATAGCCTCCGCTAGAAAGACCCCCCTCCATGGCCCATTAGCCCTCAATTGTAGTCTCTACTGGGGCCTCGAAGGGCTTATTGCCCTTTTGTTCCTTGTGTCTAAAGATTGTGTAGGGTGTGGCTGGAGGCGGTGCATGGAGGCCTGGACAAGGGTGGCGCTTGCTGCAGAGTATGGGTGGGGCCTGTAAGGGGGCCCTTGATTTATTTTGCCCGGGGGCCCTGAGGGTTCTCAGTCCGCCCCTGATGCAGGGTGTTTAAAATGTGTTTATATTGTTAATTGTATATTGTTAATTGTTTTGTGTGCTCTCCTGTCCTGCTAATGTTTGTTACCAACTAGTGGATTTGGCAATGGAGCCTGTAAAGCTCCCTCTGTTGGTAGCAACAGCAATATGCACTTCCTGAATAGCAAGGCTGGTTAATTTGCATATTCAAGTAGATTTGCATATTGCTAATTCTGCAGACAGGAGAGATATTTTGTGTTGATTATTGACTTCTCCACCTTATTGTAGATATGTTATTTTGTTATTATAATTCCCTGTATGTTTTCTGATATGTTTTGATTACTGTATTTTTTTTTAATTGTCACCAAAAGTTACATGTAAGGAGCATTTGGGCCAGTCCCAAGAAAAAAAACAAAACAAAGCTTTGTATGTTAGTTCCATTTGGAACTGTGTCCTGTGTGGATTTTTAGACATCCCAGCCACAGAGTTGTCGTACCCGTTGGCTTGCTGCATGATCCCTCTAGCCCTGGGATAAATCAAGAGAGCTGGGCCTGAGCGCCGCAAGTGCCTTTGTTAAGGCAATAGAAATCACATTGCAAGCTGGTCAGGTGTAAAAGCTCCAAAAGGACCCCAGTCAAGACACGGTGACTGGGGCAGAAGAGCGTCAGTTTTCCCTTGTTCCAGTTAGGAAGTGAACCTGGGCAGAAGTACCCAGCCAGGGTACAGGGAGCTCCGCTACACTGTCAAGTTACCATTGAGCAGGAGAACTCTGCACAGTAGCAGAGCTAATGTAGGGAGGGCCCTGGTGGAAATGTTTTGGGCCTTCCTCTAGCACAAGGGTGGATCCCATTCATCTACAAAGGTAGATCCCATTCTGTCGCACAATTCCTATGTGCTATGACAGCTGGGGTCTACTATTTACCCTTCATTGCAGGGTTGTATTTGTGATCAGTGTTTGTGCATTTGAATGTAAGTATGTTTGTATATAGAGTATGTGTGTGCATGAAGGGTGTGTTTGCATATACTGTTGCCATTGGAATGCAGTGATGTATACTGTGCAGTGTGTAGGGTTTGCGTTAGAATGCAGGGGTGTGTTTGTATGAAGTACTGGCTTTTAATTTCAGGTGTGCTTTTGTGTGTGGTGTTGGTGTTTGTATATACATTTAGTACCCCTAAGTGCATGCCCCCCTCCCAGCGTGCGGTAGTTCCAATGCTGACTTTCTGATAAAATCCCTGCAATTTGAGGTTGTCAATGTTCTATTAAAGAACATTAATCCTACCCACAATTTATTCCTTGGCAGCCTTTCCTGCCAAGAAACATTCAAAAGAAACAGATTTATCACGTACAATTCGTGGAAAGTGTTACTCAAACCACCAGTGGTGAAGGAGTTGAAAACATTAAATAATTAACTAAAAATCATTCCTATGAATAAGGTAAACACCATAAACTAGAACAAGCTGGTGATTGCGATTCTGTAATCTATGTTCCACTTGTTGCTTCCCTTGGAGTCTTTGAAGTAAACTAGACACTCCTGACTGGAAAGGAGCACATGTTTTAAAATACTTTATTATATAGCCAACACATTAAAAACATATGCAAAGATAGAAAGAAAACAATGTTGACAATTTTCTGAAAATAAAGATTGTCAAAAAAAAAGAAAAAGAAATACATATACTATGCTTCTTGGATGGAGCTGCAGCAGTAAGCCTTGACCAAACCACAAAGTGGTCCACAATCTCAATACTCTACATGCCCACCGGAATATTTCTCAGGAACTTGTACAAGGGCTAACCAGGCTACCAGCATGGTGAAATGTATGTGTTTGCAAGTGACTGTGGGGTAAGATAAGACACACAGGAAACAGAATATATCCATTAAAAGGACACTAAAGGCACCCAGACCACTTCATCTCATTGAAGTGGTCTTGGTGCACGGTGTCCCTATTGCACTTAGTGCTGCAATGTAAAACATTGCAGTTCCAGAGAAACTGCAATATTTACATTGCAGCACTAAGTCTGCGTCCAGTGACTGTCTACCAGACAGCCACTAGAGGCGCTTCCTGGATCCTAACTGACTTTTGGTCCGGTAACTGACACTGGACATCTTCCTGCTCTGCATGGATTACAACAGGAGAGCTCTGACACTGCAAGTGCCTGAGCTTATGAGACAGTTACGCATGGTCTGCACCTGGTGGAGGGGCATACCAGATTCCCAGCACACTGGAACACCAGAGATCAGCATGCCCCTCTCTGAACAAGGTAACAATAGGAAAGGAGGAATGGATATTTGTTTTTAAAATGTTTTTAAATCATTATTAATTTAATAAATGCCCTATACAAACACTACACCCCTCTACACACACACTATACATGGATGAAGGGGGATGACATGGGGGGCTCAGAATATTTTTTTGATGACTCAAGACAAGGTGCTACAGCAGCTAAAAAAAGTTGATGTAAATAAAGCTCCGGGGCCTGGAGTACAGAGTTGTTATTAATGGTAAATGTTCTAGTTGGACAAAAGTGGTAAGTGGTGTCTCCCAGGGTTCTAATGATCTTGAAACATGCATTGAAAGCCATGTTTCAGTGTTTGCAGATGACATGAAACTCTGCAAAGTAATACAATGTGAGCAGGATATTATGGAATTATGTGTGGATAAATGCAAAGCTATGCACTTTGGGGGAAAGGATGCAGAAGCAACTTACACCTTAAATGGTAGTGAATTAGGAATAAACACACGAGAAGGATTTGGGAATTGTTATAGACAGAAAACTAGGCAACAATATGCAATGTCAATAAGGTATTGTCATGTACAGGGAGTGCAGAATTATTAGGCAAGTTGTATTTTTGAGGATTAATTTTATTATTGAACAACAACCATGTTCTCAATGAACCCAAAAAACTCATTAATATCAAAGCTGAATATTTTTGGAAGTAGTTTTTAGTTTGTTTTTTAGTTTTAGCTATGTTAGGGGGATATCTGTGTGTGCAGGTGACTATTACTGTGCATAATTATTAGGCAACTTAACAAAAAACAAATATATACCCATTTCAATTATTTATTATTACCAGTGAAACCAATATAACATCTCAACATTCACAAATATACATTTCTGACATTCAAAAACAAAACAAAAACAAATCAGTGACCAATATAGCCACCTTTCTTTGCAAGGACACTCAAAAGCCTGCCATCCATGGATTCTGTCAGTGTTTTGATCTGTTCACCATCAACATTGCGTGCAGCAGCAACCACAGCCTCCCAGACACTGTTCAGAGAGGTGTACTGTTTTCCCTCCTTGTAAATCTCACATTTGATGATGGACCACAGGTTCTCAATGGGGTTCAGATCAGGTGAATAAGGAGGCCATGTCATTAGATTTTCTTCTTTTATACCCTTTCTTGCCAGCCACGCCGTGGAGTACTTGGACGCGTGTGATGGAGCATTGTCCTGCATGAAAATCATGTTTTTCTTGAAGGATGCAGACTTCTTCCTGTACCACTGCTTGAAGAAGGTGTCTTCCAGGAACTGGCAGTAGGACTGGGAGTTGAGCTTGACTCCATCCTCAACCCTAAAAGGCCCCACAAGCTCATCTTTGATGATAACAGCCCAAACCAGTACTCCACCTCCACCTTGCTGGCGTCTGAGTCGGACTGGAGCTCTCTGCCCTTTACCAATCCAGCCACGGGCCCATCCATCTGGCCCATCAAGACTCACTCTCATTTAATCAGTCCATAAAACCTTAGAAAAAATCAGTCTTGAGATATTTCTTGGCCCAGTCTTGACGTTTCAGCTTGTGTGTCTTGTTCAGTGGTGGTCGTCTTTCAGCCTTTCTTACCTTGGCCATGTCTCTGAGTATTGCACACCTTGTGCTTTTGGGCACTCCAGTGATGTTGCAGCTCTGAAATATGGCCAAACTGGTGGCATCGTGGCAGCTGCACGCTTGACTTTTCTCAGTTCATGGGCAGTTATTTTGCGCCTTGGTTTTTCCACATGCTTCTTGCGACCCTGTTGACTATTTTAAATGAAACGCTTGATTGTTCGATGATCACGCTTCAGAAGCTTTGCAATTTTAAGAGTGCTGCATCCCTCTGCAAGATATCTCACTATTTTTGACTTTTCTGAGCCTGTCAAGTCCTTCTTTTGACCCATTTTGCCAAAGGAAAGGAAGCTGCCTAATAATTATGCACACCTGATATAGGGTGTTGATGTCATTAGACCACACCCCCTTCTCATTACAGAGATGCACATCACCTAATATGCTTAATTGGTAGTAGGCTTTCGAGCCTATACAGCTTGGAGTAAGACAACATGCATAAAGAGGATGATGTGGTCAAAATACTCATTTGCCTAATAATTCTGCACTCCCTGTATAACAGTGATGGCGAGCCTATGGCACGCGGGCCACAGGTGGCATGCCGGGCCCTCTCTGTGGACATGCGGCCATAGGTTTGCCATCAATGCAGAGTAGGCACCTGCCTGCCCAAAACGGCAGGCGCCTACTTTACTTTCTTGTCGGGAGGAGGGATCTTGGAAGCAGCTCTCCTGTCCCCCTGCGAGCAATCTGTGTGGAGCGTTGCCACACAGCACCCCTACCGCCACAGCACCCCTACCCCTCACACACACAGCATCCCTACCCCCACACACAGAGCACCCATACCCCCACTCACACAGCACGCTACCCCCCACACACAACGCCCCTATCCCCCACACACAGCACACTACTCCCCACACACAGCACTCCTACCCCCCACACACAGCACTAATATCATTGCACCCCTACTTCCTCCAATAATACACAGCACCTTTCCCCTACACACACAGTTATCTTCTACCTTCCTCACATTGCAGCACCTCCCTATTCTCCACACACAGTACCCTCATCTCATTCCCCCCAACACACAGCATCCACACCTCTACCTCACATAGCACCTCCCTACTTCCCTCATCATTAGCATTCTTTCCCCACACACAGCACCCCTACACAGCACCTCTCTAATATTGTTAATAATTACCCCACCTAATAGCACCCTCAGGCCTCTCAATCAATATGCTAGCACTTTGCTCCCCCTCATTACAGCACTTCCCATCCCCCACACAGCACCCCTACTCCCCCCACACAGAACCCCTTCCCCCCACACACAGACAGCACACCTCCCCCACAAACAACTCACCTCACAGACACACAGCACAGAACCGCACACACACCCCTCACACACAGCACTCCACACAATGCAGTATATGTGTGTGTGTATTCAGCAGTCTTTATGTATTCAGCAGTGTGTGTGTGTTCAGCAGACTGTGTGTATGTATTCAGCAGTCTGTGTGTACTCAGCAGTCTGTGTGTGTGTTTATTTGTATTCAGCAGTGTGTGTGTATTCAGCAGTGTATGTATTTAGCAGTGTGTGTGTGTGTATTCAGCAGACTGTGTGTGTGTATTTAGCAGACTGTGTGTGTATTTAGCGGACTGTGTGTATGTATTTAGCAGTCTGTCTGTGTGTCGGTGTGTGTATGTATTAAGCAGTCGGTGTGTGAATGTGTTCAGCAGTCTGTGTGTATGCATTGCATTTGTTGGAGATACTAATAAATATAAGCTTCATTTTATCTATTTATATCATTATTTAAAATTTGCATCATTGAACTCCGTGTTGTATTCTTCTTTTAAAACAAAAGATGTTAATTAGTTCGGACAACTGTACGAGTTGTTTTTTCTTAACTTAAACCTCGGTATTCAGGTTTAATTGCCGTGTTGGCACTTTGAGGGAAAAAAAGTTGCCATGTATTGCTGTTTGGGCACTCGGGTTCAAAATTATTCGCCATCACTGCTATAAAAGGACATATACAAACTTTATTAGAAGGGAGCTATAACAAGTTTCCGACAATATGTCCTTACTCATCGGAATGCCCTTACACTGTGTCATGATTTATTTAACAAAAATAAATCCAAAATGGAGAAACCATGTATGAAAAACTAAATACACCTTGTGATTCAATAGCTTGTAGAACCACCTTTACCAAGAATAACTTGATGTAATTATTTTCTGTACGACTTTATCAGTCTCTCACATCGTTGTGGAGGAATTTTAGCCCACTCTTCTTTATAATGTTGCTTCAGTTCATTGAGGTTTTGCATTTGTTTCTGCACAGCTCTCTTAAGGTCCCAACACAGCATTTCAATCGGGTTGAAGGCTGGACTTTGGCCGGGCCATTGCAACACCTTGATTCTTTTCTTTTTCCAGCCATTCTGTTGTAGATTTGCTGTTGTGCTTGGGATCATTATCCTGTTGCATAACCCAATTTTAACCAAGCTTAAGCTGTCGAATATTTGACTCTAGAAAACTGTTGTATACAGAGAAGATCATGGTTGACTCAATGACTGTAAGGCTCCCAGGTGCTGTGGCTAAAAACAAGCCCAAATCCTCACCACTCCCACCACCATGCTTGACAGATGGTATGAGGTTTTTGTGCTGATATGCTGTGTTTAGTTTTTGTCAAAGTGGTAGTTTGGTCTTGTCTGTTCAAAGAACAGTGTTCCAGAAGTCTTGCGGTTTGTTTAGATGTAACTTTGCAAACCAATGTCATGCTGCCATGCTCTTTTTAGAGAGAAAGGACTTTTTTTCCGAGCAAACCTTCCAAACAAACAATATTAGTTCAGTCTTTTTCTAATTCTCTGTCATGAACTTTAACATTTGACATACTAACTGAGGCCTGTAGAGTCTGGTATGTAACTCTTTTTTTGCAATTTCTGTGAGCATGGCATGGTCTGACTTTGGGGTAAATTTGCTGGGACGTCCACTCCTGGGAAGATTGGCAACTGTCTTGAATGTTTTCCACTTTTGCATAATCTCTCTCAATGTAGAATGATGGACTTTCAATTGTTTGGAAATGGCCTTGTAACCATTCACAGTTTGATGGGCAGCAACAATTGCTTATCTAAGATCATTGATGCTGTCTTTCCTCCTTGGCATTGTGTTAAATACACCTGAATGCTCCAGACCAGCAAACTGCTAAAACTTCAGCTTATTTAGAGGTGGTCACACTTGCTAATGATCAATAATGCCCTCACTGTCTTTGCTTTAATCAAGGCCATTTGATTAGCAGCACCTGTCTGCTGCTCAGCCTCTGAATTTAACATTTCTCTCTGAAGGGTGTACTTGCAGTAAGGCCAACTCCCAGAGCGAATAGGGAGGGGGGCATGACTGCTGCCCTGAGGGGTTGGCATAGCAACCAAAAGGATACACTTGGTTTTACAGTTGAAAGCAGAGAATTCTGGGAAAATTACCAGACTATTGAGACAGGATAGCCTTCGAACGAACACACAGATTCTGCTTAACATAGACTGTATTCATTAAAGTCAGTAGATATCTCCAGCTAATCAGTAGCACACTTTCCATAGGATTCTTCCCACCTCCTGGACAGCTCACTAAGAATGCAGCTTCAAAATGGATGCTGTCCAGGAAGTGGGAGGGTCTGGGAGGGAGGGTCTGCTACTGATTGGCTGGAATGTGTCTGCTGACTGTGAGGTACAGGGTCATATGTTCGCCGTCCGCGGCGAACCGTTCGGGACATCACTACTGGTGAACAATGCTGAGTGAGCCTGGCAGTGTCTTTCCCCACACACCTTCCCCAATGGTTCTGTTCTGGAATTGTTGTTTTGTGTTGTGTTTTCTTTGTTTTTAATTTTGTCACAGCTGTGGGTTTCCTGCGCCAGCAAGTTTGGTAAATGAAAAATGCCCGGACAGGCTTAGGGAGTTGCAACCAGTGGCGGATCCAGAGCCTGATCTCAGGAGGGGCACTTGTAGATTATTTAAATAAATAATACAGGCACAATAACCACTACAGCTCAGTGTAGTAGTTATGGTGTCAGTAGTGCCAGGATTCCTGTGGGACAGTGTGTGTATGGGGGGCAGTGTGTGTATGGGGACAGTGTTTCGAGGGCAGTGTGTGTGTATGGGGGCAGTGTGTGTATGGGGACAGTGTTTGTGGGGCAGTGTGTGTGTATGGGGGCAGTGTGTGTATGGGGACAGTGTGTGTATGGGGGCAGTGTGTGTGTATGGGGACAGTGTTTGTGTATGGGGACAGTGTTTGTGGGGCAGTGTGTGTATGGGGAGCAATGTGTGTATGGGGACAGTGTTTGTGGGGCAGTGTGTGTATGGGGGGCAATGTGTGTATGGGGACAGTGTTTGTGGGGCAGTGTGTGTATGGGGACAGTGTTTGTGGGGCAGTGTGTGTATGTGGGGCAGTGTGTGTATGGGGACAGTGTGTGTATGGGGACAGTGTGTATATGGGGGCAGTGTGTGTATGGGGACAGTGTGTGTATGTGGGGCAGTGTGTGTATGGGGACAGTGTGTGTATGGGGACAGTGTATGTGGGGCAGTGTGTGTGTAATGGGGCAGTGTGTGTAATGGGGGGCAGTGTATGGGGGGGCAGTGTGTAATGGGGGGCAGTGTGTGTATGGGGGGGTGTGTGTAATGGAGGGCAGTGTGTGTAATGTGGGGGCAGGGTGTGTAATGTGGGCAGTGTGTGTATGGGGGAGCAGTGTCATGGGGGCAGTGTGTGTACTGGGGGGGCAGTGTGTGTAATGGGGGCAGTGTGTGTGCATGGGGAGCAGTGTGTGTAATGGGGGGCAGGTGTAATGGGGGCAGTGTGTGTATGGGGGCAGTGGTGTAATGGGGGCAGTGTGTGTAATGGGGCAGTGTAATGGGGCAGTGTGTGTATGGGGGGAATGGGGGCAGTGTGTATGGGGGGAGGGCAGTGTGTGTAATGGGGGGAAGGAGGCTTTTAAATAATAAAAAAAAAAATTATTTAATAAAATAAATATTCTATGTCCCCCCTCCCTTCTTACCTTTATTTAGGAGGAGGGGGGACATTTCCCTGGTGGTCCGGTGGGGGATTCATTGGTGATCAGGTGGTCAGAGTGAACTCTAGCCCGCGCTCCCGGGCTAGAGTTCACTCTCGCGAGATTTGGAGCGTTGCCGTGGTAACCGCGGCAACGCTCCAAATCTCGAGAGAGGAGGACCCGGAGGAGCTGCAGACTGAGCTCCGGGTCCTCTCTCTCTCTCCTCCCTCCCTCCCCCACCGGCTGTTAGCACGGTGCCTGCGGACCGGGGAGGGAGATCTCTGATCTTCCTCCTCGGTCTGCAAGCACATTGCAGGGCTGGCACTTGGGCAATGCCAGCCCTACGTTAGCCGGCAGGGGGAATCTTGGGGGGGGCAATTGCCCCGTTGCCCCCCCCCCCCCTGGATCCGCCAATGGTTGCAACCTGAATTTGGTTGATGAAGGACAGGCTGAAGAGGCTCTGGAAGAAGTTTAAAGTGTTCCTGTCTGCTGGGTAAAACCAGCAGCTGACAGTATTTGGTTATGCTGGTTTAACCCCTTAAGGACCAAACTTCTGGAATAAAAGGGAATCATGACATGTCACACATGTCATGTGTCCTTAAGGGGTTAAATAAATCTGTGGCCGTTGCCCTTACCCACTTAACATGGTGTTGCGTTACTTATCGGGAAGGGAAGGGTAGCAGGATTTGGTGATCGAAGGAGTCAGTAGTCAAGGATTTTTCACGCATGGCTTTATTTTTGTTAACTAGATCATGGCACCCCTTGCAATATTTCATGTGTTGTTCATCTGACTTGACTTACAGTATGTCGCACAATACCTTAATATCTTGACCTTTTAAAATTGCATAGGAAGATTGTACTGTACCATAGCACATAAGGTAACCATACAGTTTATTGTACAATGCACTCTCTAAAATGTAGACAGTAGCCTGTCAACTTTAATTTTATAGACTGCGGAGCAGATATGTGCACTGACTGCACATTCCTTAATTGATATCCAGTCAGCTGGTGTAAAAGCATATAGTAATACTAAAATTGAATGTAGTTGCATTTAAATTCAGAAAGAGAGGTAAACACAATGAGAGAAGGAGAACCCGAAAAGACAGAGCATAAGGGAAAGAGAAGCAGAGAGAAGTGTGTAAGTAGAGATCAGGTCTCTATTATTTTTACAAGTTTTGCAGTATTTCTGATACGTAAGGTGCCAGGATTGAGTTTGACTCATCCTGGTCTGATGTGCCACTGAATGGTCAGATGCAGGCTGCAGCAGGGCTTTGGCTGGGCTTGCTGTGAACTCTCTGTGCTGCTCAAGGCTTGCTGTGAATTGGGGGGGGCTCCCTAACTTGTAGAAGATTGCCTGCAACTCATTGCCTCTTCACAAGAAGAGATGAGGAGGCAATGAGTTCTGGCTGCAGTATGGAGCAGTATGCACCTCCACTGTGCACACACAGAGCAGGAGGAAAGAAAGGATCATTTAGCAGCACCCCTACCCTCAGCAAGGGGACAGCGTTTGTGGGCTGATGCTGTAATTTAATGCAGTTTATTTAGCAATATACAAAATAACAGGTTTGCAAATGAAAGGCTTATCTTTCAACCCTGGCAGTTTTGCCACTGAATTCTACCATGACGATTAACTTATAAATGTTGATTAAAAAAATGATGAAGTACCCACCTATTTGCCAACTCCATAGATATCTCCTCTAAAGGTCTCCCCTTTGTATCAGGAACAAAGACTATGACAAACATCAATGAAGCTAGACTCATTACAGCATATACAAAAAGCATCCACGGTAGACCAACTCTCTCTGTTAACAAAACAAAAATGATTGTGTTATCAATGCACAACAATATTGTTTTTATCTAAATAAGGTGGTTGAAGCATATTATTTATTAACAGAAAAATATCACTTATTTGTGATTAAATTACTTATTGCTCTAAAAGTTAATAAACAATAAAAATGGATGAATAGAAAATAACTAATGACTCTTATTATGTAGAAGGGGTTGCTGAACTGCAGACTAATGAGGCTTAAAATTTAAAGGAATGGCTAAGGGGTAAATACCTTGTTTTTAGGATTTAAAGATGCGTTAAAAGCCACATCAGCAAAAAATATAGTCTGATTTTTAAACAAAGGTTGTCTTTCGTATACATACTTAACTGTAAGACAGAGCAGTAGAAGCTGCTTGTACTTATTTGCTATTATCTCATGATTAAGGTTGGTAACAATGCTACTTTGGACAGGGCTTTGAGGTAGATTTGTTTAACTGGCCTCTATTTGGATATGGGGTGTTACAGTATTAGGGCCTATCAACATGGAGAAACGAATCAACTATGTATTGTGTGTGTCCCTACCCTCTCCCCTCCAAACTTGAGTGGGTGGTGGAATGGGATAGGCATTTAGCAAATATTACCTGGTTGGTTTACTTTTTCCTAACCCCATACAATACAAGGATGAGAAAAAGAAGAAAGGGTATTCATCAACCACCTGGCAAATAATGTCTTTGTTGATCGAATTGTGTATTTGTTACTTGTAGAGTTGGAGAGGTCTTAGTCTTTTCATATAGGTTACTCAGTGTGCTATGGGTACCGTGTGGATGCAGAATGTGATGTTGGTGTACTATGGGTAATAGGCTGATAGGTACTGACTGTGTAGGTGTATGTTGATGTGACTGCACCTATACACGCATATATGGTTGTAATCTGCGTGATGTGCAGTTTTAGCACATTTCTCAAACTAGACTAGTTTTTCCACATCCATGTACTGAATGAGAAAAACAAAGCAGGCAGATTTAACAATGTGACCAAACATTGCTTTTTGCAAAATCTATACACAATTGAGATAACTACTTAAAGGAACATTTGTAACACCATAAACACTGTGGCTCACTGGTAAGAAGCCAAACTGTTCTAAAACAGTTTGACTACTTACAATAGGCACTCCTGACACCATAACCACTACCATGTGCAATAGTGGTTATGATGTTTGAAATGTTCCTTTAAGTAAAAAGCTATAAAATGCATGAAAGTTGTTTTGGTGCCTGGAGTGTCCATTAAATGGAGGCTTTAAACCATAAACAACGAACAGACTTATGAACATTTTAATGTCTGTGTTCCTCATTTACAAAAGCAGTAAGAAAATTCACATAACAATCCAAGATAATTATACACAGGCGTAAAAAGAATATTTACTGTATATACTTTATTTATAGTGTTGTCCTTGTCGGTAACGTATTATCTCTGGGAAACGAGGACATTACTCTATGGGAGTAGTAAGTTATGCTGACAACAGCAAAAACGTCTGCCTTCATATACAGAATGTATTAAATTTAAAGGAACCACAAATGTATCTTACCAGTTAATGTGAGAAATGTCAGCGATATGAGTAGATTCATTCCCCAGTTCATACTGCTTGTTATTGAAAATGCCCGACCTTTAATACCCGCAGGAAAGATTTCACTCTGAACCAGCCAAGCCACTGACAAGAAAGTAGAAATGGTCAGTTTACAAATGCGTAGCACTGCACTACAGACCAACATAGCAGCTTTAAAAAATATCCTCATTTGATCATTTAATGAGCCAGAAATTTAGTCTTTCTCACATACATCTGCAATCATGCGTGGGTCTGTTCTTAACAAGCAACTTACAGTACAGTTATAAATTTGTCTTGGACTGATATTTTGATCAAAATGTGTTGACTCACTAAGCCTACCATGTATCACTGTTTACTGAATAAACCCCATAGGCAAGTTTTTAAATCCAGAAACGCTGAACAGCATGATTCCCTATAAAGGATCAATAAAGGACTTAGGAGATGCCCAGTTTGGTCATCTCCTGGACCCTTTCAGACTTTTTCCAGAAAGCCCTGTAGACAACTCATCCTTCCTGCGCCTCCTATGGGAAATTTCCCAGTTAGCCATTTTATTGTGGTCACAGTACATGAGAATCCATTGCTTGTGGAATAAAATAACCACATAAAAGAAGACGCGCATGGATAAGAAAGCCTTAACTCAGTGCCAATTAGCATGAAACATGTTAAATGATTATGACCACACGTTTATGAAACATGGATATGCAATTAATTCTTTTTTTTTTTTAAATCTCTGGACACACCCTCGTTTGTCGTTACTACTGTTTAACCTGAATTATTTATTGTTGCATGGAAATGTCTGCAGGAGACTAAATGGGACTGTCCACAGAACTTTCCTGCCAAATGAAGCATCAATGGACACAAAAACATTACTGATGTGGAATCAATCAATTGATTATCTTGCGTATCTGCCCCCGGCCAAATTTAAAAAGATGCGTGCACGCTCCTGAAGTAATTCACACCAGACACAGGTTTCGGGTTAATGAAAAACTTGAGGAATGAATGTTTATTCTGGGGGGACGGCATGCCCCTTATAAAGCAAAATTACATCATATGCATTGTCAGAGATAACATGGAATAATACATCAATAATTGGTTAGGTGTTAAGTGGTTCATTTATTGCTCTTCCTACCGGGTGTGATGTCACTGGTATCTTTGAGGTTTCCCCAGATTCCAGCACCATCTTGTTAATGAGGGTGTTAGTCGATGTCAAAGGGAAACTCCCTAGCGGCCATTTTAGGTAAATCACGTATGAGGTTGAATAATGCTGATTGTGGTTATGCTGAGTAAATAGGCATTTTATTAATATGAATTGGGTTAATATTTTGTCCACAACGGTCCCCCCTTAAAATGACTATTTACTAAAGAAACAACTACTAACTGACCCTAACAATGTCCCTACTTGGCTGCAGCTCATCTGTCTGAACTGGCCTCGAACGCTTCACTGCGCGGGTATCCCGTAGTGGCTAACCCACTACATCTCCCGCGTCAGACTCCTACCCGTGGAGACAGACGCTGTCCCTATGCTGTTCCTATAAAGAAGTAGTTGTCCTTTTGAGGTGGTGGGACTGAAGAGGTGTGTGCTGGGTGTCACAGTCTATATCGTCAATATCTTGATGTAGGAAAGTAGGTGTGGTGCGGTCAATGGTCTGATCTACAGTCTTTTGTAAGTACCTTTGCACCCAGGGTATCACGCAGCAAACCAGGAAGAGGAGGAGAATCACTACTGTAAGAACTGCCATACCTACTTGAAAGAAAACTTTCTGACATCAACTCATCCATCCCAACCATCTGTCCCATGAATTGGAGACCCCTGAGTTATTTTTTTAATTCGGCAGAGAGACTTTCTAATTTCTTTATGGCCATGGTTACTTTACCATTGGGGCCTGTATTATCTGGAATGAAGGTACAGCATGTCATAGTGTCGGGGAGTATTTTACACTCCCCCCCCTTTTCTGCTAGGATCATGTCTAAGGCCATTCGATTCTGGAATGTCATTTGGGAGGTAGCCTGCAATTGTTCTGCCAAGCCTTGAAGGGCATCTCTAGTATAATTGACAAAACGTTGCTGATTATAATAGATATAATTAATCCAGTTAACATTCTTGTTAGCGGTGATGAGTGGGATCAAGGATTCAAATCCTGCCGCAACCTCATCTCTGGCCTTGAACTCGTTTGGTACCCCCCTTGGTACACCTATGGCATCGATATATATGTGGGTCGAAACTACCTTGAATAGGGGTTTCTCTTTTTATCCTAAAATATGTGTGTGGGGAATCAAATGGGCCTTGGTGGTTATCAGAAATTATATGTATAGGCATGATGGCTTTGGTCAGAGTGCATTCTCCCCACCACAGGCCAGTCATTTTAGATCTGGGTTGCATATCACCACATAGCCAATAAATGTCTCCCAAGGACTTGACTTGATTTACCAATAAGGTAGTGGGAGGTGTCCGATAGGTGGCACCGTAGCTGGGAGGGAAACTACCCACAAATTTACCCGTGGTACCATGTATAGTGTAGCAAGTGTAATTACCTGGATACACGGTGATTCCATCAGGTGGCCTGAGATTCCCTTGAGTTATTGGATATGCCTTTTTCCATGATTCACATACTGATGAGTTTGTGGCTGATTGTACACAGAGGCTTAGAAAACACATCTCAACATCAGGGGGTAGATTAAAAGGCACTGTACCCAGATGGGGTCTGGCCCCGCCACAGACATAACAGTTAGTTTTATTGTGTGAATTAGCATTATACCTCATCCACTCGAGCCATAGGTTGGTATCTGAAAAACCGGTCTCCACAGCCATCGTGTCCTCGAATGTGGATTGGCAATTGCCACCATGTCCTTAAGAGTTTTAATGTTCGGTTTTAGAGGGTTAGTGGTCATGTGTGTAGAGTCTACCCAGTCAGGTGATGTATGCATGTCTTATAAATAGAAGGTCCCCATTGTTATATGAGCCACCCCCTCTCCAGTACATCCCCATTACGTACTCTTCAGTGTCTCCTGGGCTGGGATGTTCTGTGTTTAAGGTGAGTTTCAATGGGGTAGACCCTGTTGGCTTACATAAGGTCATTCTGTGTAATAAGGGTTTCCCATGTCTGTCCACCCTACACTTTGTGGTCTGTAGCCCCATGGTCGGCCTATGTTCCAACCTTCTGCTTTCCAGGTACTACAATGATGTCTCCAATGGTCACCTGTCACACAAATGTATGGGTCCTTTCTATTGGGTATGTCTTTGTATATAATGCTGAGTGTTGTGATTGTGGAAAAGTACAAGGAACAATATCACAGTAATCAAAGGTAAAAGTAGCTACATGTGTGTTTGAAGAGTTATAACAGAATGTGTAAACACGATTATCTTTGGTGATAGCAACTTGTTGGGCCTTTAATAGGCCTAGCAGCAGAAATAGACACAGGAAGCTCATACTTTAGCGGGATCTGCTTCCTCTGGATCAGGAACTTTCTTACAGTGCGAGGCGTGTATCCAGGTATTCTTCCCAGCCAATTTTACCGACGTAGACGTGGTCAATAGGACTTGGAATGGACCATCAAACCTTGGCTCAAGAGTGTGCTTTCTCAGGAATTTCTTGACCATAACCCAGTCACCAGGAAGGAGTTTATGAGTGCCTGTATTTGATTCTGGATCTGGAATAGAAGAAAACACCTGTGCATGGATTTTGGTCAAGGCATGAGAGAGTGCAGTTATATAATCTACCAATGCATCTGACTGAATTTGAAGTTGTTGAGGAAAGTAAAAGCCTAACCTGGGTGCTGTACCAAATAAAATCTCGTAGGGGGATAAGCTAAATCTCCCTCTTGGAGTGTACCTTACACTAAATAGTGCTATGGGAAGACTTTCCAGCCAGGGTAGGTTAGTTTCTTGGGCCATCTTAAGCATTCTGGCTTTCAAGGTGTCATTCATGCGTTCTACCTTACCACTATCCTGTGGGTGATAGGGTGTGTGGAATGCAAGGGTAACCCCTGCTGCTGCCCAGATTTCCTTGGTTAGCAACACAGTGAATGATGTTCCCTGGTCACTTTCAATCACCTCAGGAACTCCATATCTGCAGATGATTTCGGTAAGTAGGCGCTTTGCTGTGGTCTTCGCAGTGAGATTAGTGACAGGAAAAGCTTCTGGCCATCCTGAAAACATATCCACTATGACCAGTTCATATTCATACCGGCCACTTTTTGGCATTTGGATATGATCAATTTGGATCCTTTGGAAAGGGTACTGTGGCTTGGCCAAATGGTTTGGTGCGGCTTTAATTATTTTCCCCGGATTACATGTGGCGCATATAGTACAGGATCTGCAGTAATTTCTTGTCAAAGTAGTGATTCCGGGTGCCTCAAATTATTTATCAATCAGGGAGTTCATGAGGTGCTTGGATAAATGGGCTGGTCCATGGGCCCACTGAAAGACAGCTGGGTACATATTCTTGGGTAGACAGAATTTGAGGTTGATTGTGTACACTTCATTCTGGAGGGTTGCCCCTTTATCTTTCCAACTTTGTTTTTCCTGAGGGGTGGCAGCAGCCTGTTGTTCTCTCAGGAACTTGAGATCGGTAGGTAGGGTTTGCATAGTGTAAATAGGAGTCTGTTCAACAGGCACTCTTCTGTCCACTTCCTGACACTGGCATGCCGCATCTTTAGCAGCCTGATCGGCTAAGTAATTGCCACATGCTTCTTCTGAATTCAATCTCCCGTGGGCCTTTACCTTCAATATGGCCACCTCTTCAGGGAGCAGTAAGGCATCCATTAATTCGTTGATAGCTGCGCCATGTTTCACCGGAGTACCTGCTGCTGTAAGAAACCCCCTTGTTTTCCAGATTAAGCCAAAATCATGTGCTACGCCCAGGGCATACCTTGAGTCTGTATAGATATTAACACGCTTCCCTTCAGACATCTTACATGCTGCTGTAAGGGCTATTAGTTCGGCTTCTTGTGCTGACTTAGATGATGGTAGTGAAGATGCTTGGAGTACTCGGTCTTCTGTGATGACAGCATATCCGGTATGATATTGTCCCTGTACGTTGGCAAATCTAGAACCATCCACAAACAGGGTGAAGTCAGGATCTGGCAGAGCAGCCTCGTGCACCGTCGGGAGATGGGTTGTCTCCATTTTCATCTGTTCAAAACAGTCATGAGGGGCATCCGGGTCCTGTTCTGTAGGAGGGATGTCTTCACATATCTCTGTGATATCGAGGGTAACCGACTGTTTTGCAATTTATGGTCCTTTTAGTGACCCCCGTCATTGGGAGCTGTTCTTGAGTTGCAGTACTCCATGTTTTGGCCATTGGGCCGAGTTCTTTCCATGAGAGATTTGGTGAAAGAGATATGAGGAACTGCCACTTCCCAGCGGTGGTATAAATGTAATACCTCCATGGGCAGTTAGACCAAGATAACAGTATTTCCTCAGGAGTAACAGAACAGCTCTGTCAGGGTGACGCGTATTTCCACCAGGCTAAATAATTCTTCTTCATAGTATGGGTCAGGACCTGGGGTATTCCTGAACCACAGGGTACAATGTAAGTAGCCCTCAGGTTGTTCGTCATGTGGAACCATGGGCTTTTTCACTTGAAGGTCCCTTCATAGTATGGGTCAGGACCTGGGGTATTCCTGAACCACAGGGTACAATGTAAGTAGCCCTCAGGTTGTTCGTCATGTGGAACCATGGGCTTTTTCACTTGAAGGTCCCTTCATAGTATGGGTCAGGACCTGGGGTATTCCTGAACCACAGGGTACAATGTAAGTAGCCCTCAGGTTGTTCATCATGTGGAACCATGGGTTTTTTCACTTGAAGGTCCATATGAACATCAGGATTTATGTCCAGACTGTACCAGTATTGTGGTACTCCCCCCTTGGGAAGTGGCAGAAGAGTGGCTGGGTTTAAAGAGTAACATCTTTGTAGAGTGACGTTATCAGGCAAGAGGAGGGAGGTTTGAAGGCGGAGGTGTCTCTGGGAGGAGAGATGTTTCGGTTGGACTTGATTCAGGATGGCCGTGATATCATGAGGAACAAGGACAGTGAGTTTATGTCCGAGAACAAAGTCATTAGGGCACTGGCAGCAAACACAGCACGTAAACAAGAAGAATCACCTCGAGCCACGGGGTCCAGCATGCATGAAAAATAACCAATAGGGCGTTGACGGGAACCATGTGATTGTTTAAGGACCCCTGAAGCATGGCCCATATTTTCAGAGACAAAAAGTTTGAATAGTTGCTGATAGTTAGGTAGGCTGGGGCAGAGGAGATGGCCCTTTGAAGGGCATAGTAGCAGGAGCGAGCTGTTAAAGACAATGAAAATGGTTCAGTCTTCAAGGCATCATAGAGAGGTTGCATGAGCTGAGAAGCCTCAGGGATCCAAGACCTGCAATATGTGATGAGGCCCAAGAAGGTATAAAGAGTTTGATGAGTAGATGGGAGAGAGAAATTTGTAATAGCAAGTACTCTGTTCTTTGTTAGGTGACGGGTGCCATGGGAAAGGCAATGTCCCAAGAAGACCACAGAGGGCCGGCACCAGTGAAGTTTCGTTCTGGAGGCTTTACATCCTTCTTCAGCGAGGAAACAAAGGAGATCTTTGGAATTTTATTCAGCAGTTGGAAGATCATCCGCACAGAGGAGTAGATCATCCACATACTGGAGCAGGACCATGTCAGGGTGAGACTTCTGCCAAGGTTCTAAGACAGTTAACATATCTTTGGCGAATTGAGTAGGGGAATTTTGTGCACCTTGAGGCATGTCAGTCCAAGTGTATTGTTGGCGATCATGTGTGAAAGCAAACAAATATTGGCAAGAGGGATCCAAGGGCAGTGGAAAAAACAGAGGGAGGTGGGAGAGGGACGAGTTAGTAATAAGATCTGTCCGTCCCGAGGACGGGGCACAGAGGGGTGGGGACAGAGGAGCCTACGCCAATTGAAGGTGACGACTGGGTAGTGGCTGGGGAGGCGGAGTCAGATTCTTTCACATTGTGTTGGGCGCCATCATAGGGCGGTGGCTGGGGAACATCAAGAGATGAATCATCATTACAAACATTTTGTATGATATACATAAATCGATTGTCCTCCAAAATCTAGTTCTTCCTCTAACCAACCCTCCCTCCCGAGTCCTCTTGCCACCCGATACCAAGCCTCCATGGCTTTCGTTAGCCCATTATCCAACAATAAGCCCTCTTTGTCAATAAGCAATTTCCTCCAAAATTCTGGCTGTAATCTACCACTGGGTGACATTTGGAAGCCACAAATCTTTGCTATTTTCTTTATTTTTAACATAGCCTCTCTCCTTAACTATGTCACAAGGTAAGTAGCCTTTGGAAGGTCTGGCGAGTTCTTGTCCCATTTTTACCAAACAAGGCTTCCCACGTAAAAGGGACAGAGAGAGAGAGAGGAAAAAGAAGGAATGTCTACAGTGCTCGACTGCCAGGAGGAATTGATCTTCGTGCGTCTTCCCTAAACGTAGACTAGTCACGGGATCCGCCCACCCAAGATGGTGGCCACGGATCTGAGCAGGCGAGCGTGGGTGACTAACACAGCTCTGGGTAAAAAGTACAGAAGAGGTGAACGTGGAAAGAGTATACAGAAGATATTTACAAGAGTCACAGATATAGAGATGTGCACATAATCTGGAATCAAGGATGAGCCACACAACACACACACACACAGCGAGGGTACCCACACTATGGCCACAATTAAATAAAAACCATAATATAATAAAGAACAATATAACAACGAGCATAGTAACAACTAAACAGTAAATAAAACCCTGTTCTGCTCTGAACAGTACGACAAAATTCCCAGCCTTTATCTAGGCGGTTCCCAGCCCTTCACCGGGCGGATGCGTTCCCTGCCTGCTAGGCAGTCAAGTTATAATAAATTCCCAGCCCCTCACTGGGCGGATGCGTTCCTTGCCCGCTAGGCAGTCAAGCTATAATAAATTCCCAGCCCCTCACCGGGCGGATGTGTTCCTTGCCCGCTAGGCATTCAAGCTATAATAAATTCCCAGACCCTCACCGGGCGGATGCGTTCCCTGCCCGCTAGGCAGTCAAGCTATAATAAATTCCCAGCCCCACACCGGGCGGATGCGTTCCCTGCCCGCTAGGCAGTCAAGCTATAATAAATTCCCAGCCCCTCACCGGGCGGATGCGTTCCCTCGCTAGGCAGTCAAGCTATAATAATAAAACATAAACCACACACCAGCTTTCTCACACGCACACAAACACTAAGGAGGCAGATAGACAATCGACAGGTTCGTTTAAAAAGGAAAGAAAAAGAAAAATGCTCAAATCGCTGGAAGTATTCCTGCAATTCGAGTCTAGTCTGGAATTTACATAATAAAAGTTCGATCTGATGACAATTAATTTATTTACAATAATAATGACTGAAATGTAGATGGATTCCTACTTCTCCCAGACCTTAGAGACATCAAATGTGAAGTGATAAATGCCAAGCTTTTCGGCTAAACCTCTCACTTTTTTGCCGTGACAGTAAAAGACCTCAGACTCCTGCCTTTATTAATAACTAGATAGGTCACAGTCTGTATTGTAATTATAGATCAATGCTAGTAGAATCACGGAAACCAATCCAAGTACCTAATATAGCGACCCTAAGTATTAAGAGTTTGATTAAATAGCCTGGCCACTGTATGATAGCAGTGTATTGTAAGTAGGGGACAGTATCTTTAAACAATGAAGTCTCCTTATCCACAATAATAATCAATACTTGTATAATAATGCCAAATAATAAGGGGTCATCTATAAGAAAATGTATCTAATTATTGTAAATACATAGTGACTAGTAAGAGAACTTGTAAATTATAAAAAGAGAAAGACAATCTCTGATACTAATACAAAGGTAACTAATAGATACAGGGTTTGGAAGTTGGAAGAGAGGTTAGAAAATTATATAGTGCTACTGTGCAGAACCATACTTAGGATGCTGGTTACCTGCACATGGTGAAAGTGCCCAAAGTGAAAGTAGTGAAAAAAAAGAGACAGAGAACCCGACGCGCGTTTCGGTGCTTAAAGTATGCACCTTCGACATGGGCTAGAATTTGAGCATTTTTCTTTTTCTTTCTTGTTATTTGATCGGGTAACTAAAATTATAGATCAGGGTGGTGCAGTAGACATTGCTTACCTAGATTTCAGTAAGGCTTTTGACTAGAGATGTCGCGAACCGTTCGCGAACTTCCCGCGAACGGCTCGCCACGGTTCGCCACAAACCGTTCGTGGCGAGCTCCGGTCAGCTGACACATCCCGGCCAATCTCCAGCAGACCCTCCCTCCCAAACCCTCCCACCTCTGGCAGGAGGTGGGAGGGTCTGCGAGGGAGGGTCTGCTGGAGATTGGCCGGGATGTGTCAGCTGACCGGAGCTCGCCACGAACCGCGGCGAGCCGTTCACGGGAAGTTCGCGAACGGTTCGCGACATCACTACTTTTGACACTGTTGCACATAGAAGGCATATCAATAAACTGCGATCTTTAAGTTTGGATTCCAATATTGTTGAATGGGTAAGGCAGTGGCTGAGTGACAGGCAACAGAGGGTTGTAGTTAATGGAATATATTTGAAGCTTGGACTTGTCACCAGTGGGGTATCTCAGGGATCTGTACTTGGACCCATTCTCTTTAATATTTTTATTTGTGATATTGCAGAAGGTCTTGATGGTAAGGTATGTCTTTTTGCTGATGATACTAAGATATATAACAGGGTTGATGTTCCAGGAGGGATAAGCCAAATGACAAATGATTTAGGTAAACTAGAAAAATGGTCAGAATTGTGGCAACTGACATTTAATGTGAATAAGTGCAAGATAATGCATCTTGGACGTAAAAACCCAAGGGCAGAGTACAGAATATTTGATAGAGTCCTAACCTCAACAACTGAGGAAAGGGATTTAGGGGTGATTATTTCTGATGACTTAAAGGTAGGCAGACAATGTAATAGAGCAGCAGGAAATGCTAGCAGAATGCTTGGTTGTATAGGGAGAGGTATTAGCAGTAGAAAGGGAAGTGCTCATGCCATTGTACAGAACACTGGTGAGACCTCACTTGGAGTATTGTACACAGTACTGGAGACCGTATCTTCAGAAGGATATTGATACCTTAGAGAGGGTTCAGAGAAGGGCTACTAAGCTGGTTCATGGATTGCGGGATAAAACTTACCAGAAAAGGTTAAAGGATCTTAACATGTATAGCTTGGAGGAAAGATGAGACAGGGTGGATATGATAGAAACATTTAAATATATAAAGGGAATCAACACAGTAAAGGAGGAGACTATATTTAAAGAAAAAAAACTACCACAACAAGAGGACATAGTCTTAAATTAGAGGGACAAAGGTTTAAAAATAATATCAGGAAGTATTACTTTACTGAGAGGGTAGTGGATGCATGGAATAGCATTCCAGCTGAAGTGGTAGAGGTTAACACAGTAAAGGAGTTTAAGCATGTGTGGGATAGGCATAAGGCTATCCTAACTATAAGATAAGGCTAGGGACTAATGAAAGTATTTGGAAAATTGGGCAGACTAGATGGGCCGAATGGTTCTTATCTGCCGTCACATTCTATGTTTCTATGTTTCTATTATCCAGGGGTTAAGCCCTAGGACACTTCTGGAGTGTCCGCCAAGGTGCCTTTTAGACTCCCCGGGTGGTGGGGTCTCCCTAATTTTGGGTTGAACCTCCACCTAGGGTTTCTATTACTACTTTTCGCTTAAAAAGGCACCGGATAAGAGATTACCTGTCTTGTAGCCTTGTGGAAGCCAGAAGTGGACACGGAGACAGACCGACACAAAACAGGAGAATATAGGCAAACCACTGTATTTAGGAAGTGATCAGGCTCCGGTTGTCCCACTTTCCGGAGGTCCGCTCCGGTCCCGGATTCCCGCCGTCCGAACCGGCAAAACCCGGTGCCCCACTTTGGGCACCAAATGATGTGGAATCAATCAATCGATTATCTTGGGTATCTGCCCCCGTCCAAATTTAAAAAGATGCGTGCACGCTCCTGAAGTAATTCACACCAGACACAGGTTTCGGGTTAATGAAAAACTTGAGGAATTAATGTTTATTCTGGGGAGACGGCATGCCCCTTATGCATTGTCAGAGATAACATGGAATAATACATCGATAATTGGTTAGGTGTTAAGTGGTTCATTTATTGCTCTTCTGCCTGGTGTGATGTCACTGGTATCCAGGAGGTCTCCCCCAGATTCCAGCGCCATCTTTTTATTGAGGGTGTTAGTCGATGTCAAAGGGAAACTCCCAAGCGGCCATTTTAGGTAAATCACGTATAAGGTTGAATAATGCTGATTGTGGTTATGCTGAGTAAATATGCATTTTATTAATATGAATTTGGTTAATATTTTGTCCAGAACAATTACTATGGTAAAATCTGGGAAAACTTTGCAAATCTGCTCCATTGAAACCCCATGATAAAAAGCTAGGACATAACCACCACTTTAGTAGTATGGGCAGTGATCCTGTCAGGCTCTGATTTATTCATCAAGGAATAAGCCTGCTGTGATGAATAAACACGTGCCAGAAGTAAAGGTAAAGCTGAAACGTTTTGGCCCTTTCTTGGTCCAGAAAAAGGAATGAACTGGGAATCATTTTTCTTGAAGAGCATAATTGCCCACACATAATATTTGAAAGCACATTCAGTAAAGAGACTCTAGTATTGGGAACTAATGAATTCCTGGGTAGATTGACAAACCAGCCTTGAGACAAAGAAGATAGTATTCAAAAATGGACGATTCAGGAGCCTTGACTTGGAGCCATAATCAACAGACCAGTTCTTAAAGCAGCACTGTCACTGTCTGGGGACTTTGCATAATTTGTGAAAACCCCCAACAGTGACATAGGGACAGGGAAAGGTAAATTTTACTTACCTGAACATGACCCTAGCGGACATAGCCATCTTATTCCAGCCAGCCCTCTTCTGCTCTTGATGCTTCAGCACCAGGAGCTGACGTCACTGCTGTACTCTTGCACATTTGCTAGAGTACAGCATTCAGGTATATGGAGGATCCTCCATTGACACAGCTAATATCTCTGGAGCTGTCACTGCTGATGGCTGGGAGACTGACACTTCTACACAGCGTTAGCTCCACCCAGTGTCTAGAAGTGTCAGGCGTAAGAAATATACTGAGACAAAATAGTTTTTACTTTGTCTCACTATAACTTTTGTTTGGGTTGCAATATACGTGAAATTCCAGCACAGTCAGTATGAGTATTTCCCAAAGATGTTCCAAAAAGAGTTCCAATCAGAACATTTCTGAAAGTCTTGGTTCTATTTGTCCTCTTGGAGGAAGCAAAATCCCACAAACAATGTATTCTTATAAACCATGCCCACATTAAAGGGACACCCTAATCACTAAACAGCTTTAGCTTAGTGAAATTGTTTTGGTCTAAAGAATTTTCAAAAACTTTATTAAAGCGTCAGCTAATTGAAGTGGTCTGGGTGCTGTGTCCCTATTGCACTTAGTGCTGCAATGTAAAACATTGCAGTTCCAGAGAATGTTTACATTGCAGCTCTAAGTCTGCCCTCAGTGGCTGTCTACTAGACAGCCACTGGGGGCGCTTCCAGAATCGAAACGGACCTTTGGTCCGTTATCTGATACTGGACGTCCTCACCCTCTGCATGAGGACCTCCAGCATCAGATTTTCCCCAAAGGAGGTAGGGCTGACGTCGGCAGGGGAGGAGCAGGGGCGGAGCATGATCCAGCGCCGAGGGACATCGGCACTGGATTCAGGTAAGTGGTAATTCAGCCCCGTGGGAGGGGGGCTCCCTAGATACCTATAGTGCCAGGAAACGGCTTTGTTTTCCTGGCACTAAAGGAACCATTCATGGATGGAGTTCATTGTTTATATCACCTGTGTATTTTACATACAAGACTGATTCCAAAATTTAAATTGTCCGCTACTTAACTTATTGTAATACAAGCTGTAACAGACATTACAAAATTTCTATGTATTACTTCACTTAAGCTTTTTGTGTTATTTCCAAAAATACATCACATCTGAATTTGATTGTTAGGTATGAAAAAAATTACAGTTAAAGCTTAAATTAAAAATGAACTGAATTTGTATCTCTCCCAAACAAAACAGTGAAACACTTGTTACAAAACCAAAATTATTATTTCTTAATTTGCCTTTTTTTGTAAATCAAATACTTTTTAAAATATATATCACTATTCAATGGTTTTGCCTCTCGTGAACTCAGCGGATGTTAAAAGCTCACATCCCCATCAAAAGGGGATGTAACTTGATTACCTTTAATCTAAAATATTTATTACAATTCAGACAAACCAGAATTATAGATCACTTGATTAGCATTGTTTAATTAAATATTTAACTTTGCTTACATTTAATTTTATGTGAATTTTCAGGAAAATAAGTTACAAATGTATGTGTCATTGAAATGAAAGATTTTAACAAAATATTTTGATAAATATTCAGGGTTATTCAATGTTTTGTTTTTTTCAAAAACTGAATTTCAAAATTTAGAGTAAAGTAATAGAACCGGAAACATAACTAACTGTTATGATGTTTCCATCCTATCTATTGTGGCCTAATATTTGAAATTCAGAATTTACATTGAGACAATTTTAAATTTTCAGTCCTAACAAACCGCAACAGAATGAATCTTTTCATGTCTAAGTATCTTCTGTTACAATTTCAGAAAGATATGTCTACTACATGTCATACTTTGAGTGGAACATCTAAGGGTGTAATTTGCTAAATGCCAAAAATGTTAGGCTGCCAAGCTGTGACTTTCTGAAGTGGAGAATCTTTCTAAATGATCTACTTTTGATTCAATTTTACTATTTAGTTTCAAAATCACTATGAATCTTGGTTTATTGAATAAACCCCTAACTGTCACTAGGTTTCTGCCCCTCCCTTCCCTCTATATTCTGCATTAATGATCAATGGTAATTAGAATGTTTAACTTGATGACTTTTAGCTTTTAGTTTTCAACCTCATTAACTATGTAACTGCAAGCACAGTTAAGTCAAGCGGAATACTCACTTGGTCCCAAACCTATAGAAAAAGCAGCAATGTAAGCAAGAAGGCTGGTTAAACACAACCACTTCAAAGATAGTGAAATTTCAGATCCATGTGATGAGACTGTTGTGCCTCTTGGAGTAGCATGATCTGCCCTTGGTGTCCAGTGCCAGATATTTGTACCGTTTCGTAATGCAGCAAGCTCTGATTCACTGCTTGATGATAGTTCATTGAATTCTTTCTTGAGAGACTCATTGCTTCTTGCTATGTTCATTGGCTTGGAGAATGCAGACATTTCAAGAGAATGATTGTGGGCTTTACACATACTTTTCGAACTCACATCTATTTTAAGGCTTACTAGTCCCATTGCCACCAGAGATACAGCCATCACAGCAGACCCAACCCAAAGAAAACGTTTACTACCAAATCTGTCCACAAACATAATTGCTGGAATTGTACTAACGACTTTGACAACTCCAATTCCAGTGGAGGCTAATGTGGCAGCTTCATTACTCTGGAACCCAACAGACTTTAGAACAGTTGAAGCATAGAACAATATGTTGGGCTGTCCTGTTATTTGTACAAAGAAGCTTAGTGTTAGACCTATTAAGAGCCGTGCTCTCATGTTATCCCTGGAACAAAACAAATCCAAAAAGTTGTACTGATATTCAGCTTTGATAGATGATTTAATCACCATGAGTTCTTCATTAATATTTGATGATGCCCTTAGTTTCTGAAGAACCTTGCCAGCAGCTTCATCTTGCCCTTTCATCATTAAAAACCGAGGGCTTGGGGGGAGGAAGTACATAGCAAAGGCTTGTAGGGCAGCTAATGGAATAATAAGGCCAAACATATACTGCCATCCATTGGTGATGGTTGCAAACACGTAATTGGAAATATAGGCCAGAAGGATTCCAACAACAATCATGAGTTCATTTAAAGACACCAACATGCCCCTGTTATGCTGTGGTGCAATCTCTGCAATATAAACACAGGTAGCAATGGCAGCTAAAGATATTGACACTCCAATAGCAATTCTTCCAATGATGAGACTCCAATAATTCACAATAATGATTAACAGGAGATTTGCTAGGAGAAGTAAACATGATGTTACAATTATTGTGATCCTCCTTCCATAGTAATCTATGAGAAATCCGCCAACAAGTGAGGCTAGAAGTGCTCCAATTAGTAACGCACTTACTACTATTTCCTGCTGTCGGCAAGTAAGGTCCAATAAACTGTTCAACTGAAGAAGGGCTCCAGAGATTATTCCTAGTTCATAGCCCACTAGCAATCCACTTATGGCAGCAATTATGGATGAAAGGGCTATAAAGATTCCACACCCTAGAAAACAAAAATAAGGATCTCAGTAAAAAGCTTTAGCACAAATTAACACATTGAATATGTTTTTCATGGATACTGTAACTATAGACGTATGCACCGGGTGTGTCAGGTGTGTCTTGGCACAGTTTACTGCATGGCTGGATGGTTTTTCCTTTTCTTGCAGACATTGTAGCGGGGGACAGAGGATCCACTGCAGCCAGCAGCTGTTTGCTGTCAGCATGCATGAAGTGGGTAGAGGCCTGTCAGACTCAGGGTTAGATTCTATTCAATGAGATAAGCTTATCTGTTGTAATTATATAACAGAGTCCCAATGACTTCTATAGAAAATAAGCTATTCAATTACAAGAGATAAGCTTATCTCCTCTAATAGAGTCTAGTTCTGAGTGTTTACAGGAGTCATTCATGCAAGAGTGCAGGTAAGGACTAAAAAAGAGAATACAATAGTGGGAGAGAAGGACTTACTGACTGCATAATTGACCACAATAAAGATTTAAAGGTAGGTTAACCACTAGACAGGGCACAAAAGGCAGGACTGAGTGAATGGAATAACAAACAGTTAGAGAGAGGTTCCAAAATAACTGACTGGTGTAAAAAGAGGGACTAAACCAGAAGAGTAACAAACGGACAGGTAGCAAGAGAAGGGGTAAAAGTAACTGCTTGATGGGCAGAGAGTAGGGAGTAACAACAGCAGGACCTACAAGAAAAGCACAATTAGGAACAGCAAGGGAGGGACAGGAGTAACAAACAATAGGAACCACAACAGGAGAAGAGGAAGGATAATAACAAACAAGTGCTGATATAGGTTAGCTCACAATTGCATTTTTAAATTAAAGTGTAGTTGTTAATATAAAACAAGTATGTTAATTGCTAAGTAGTTCAGCTAGCATTGCCACTTTTCTTGGAGTAAAATTCTGATCATGCTAATTTGCACAATTAATTATATGCATGGCACATTACATGTCATTATGTAACATCACAGGTAGTGGCATAAGAGAAAAAAACTTTTGGAAGGGGACAATTCTCTAAAACACGTAAAAAAAATTCTTATAGTCTGCCTTATGTCTGACTGTGAATGTGGCATTATGTATGTGTAGCAGTGTGTGTATACTGTTTCTCAGTGTGTGTTTGTGTATAACAGTGTGTGCACTAGCAGTCTGTCAGTGTGTATATTGTGTGTGTTTGTGTCAGTGTGTGTTGTATTATGTCATTGTGTATAACAGTATGCTTCATTGTTTGTGTACTGTTTGAGTGAGTGTGTGTATATTGTACCTGAATGTGTTTGTTTGCATACCAGTGTGCCATTGTGTGTATACTTTGTGTAAGTGTGTGTATATCAGTTTGTGCATACTGTGTCTGAATGTGTGTGTTAGTGTGTATACTGAGAGTGTGCATATGGCAGTTTGTCATTGTGTTTATAGGGCATGTCATTGTATCTATATTGTAGCCCATGAAGCAGCGCAGCTAAAGGGAATGGCTAGGAGACAGGCATAGAAGGGGTGTAGGGTGGGGTTTGGCAAAAGGAGTATATATAGTGGCCATTTTAGATTAGGGGCCATCTAAATTAATCCTCGCTTAACTGTTTTGTCCCACTCTCCCTCCGTCCCCTTTTTTAAATTTAGCTCCTGTTCGGATAGATAAGTTGAGGTGTAGGTTGTTTGTCTTGATGTAAAATAGTTTGGTTCGCTAAGTACAGTTCGGTTTGGAAGGGTATTGGTAGGTTCGAGCTCATTGGTAGCTCCGAACCTGGTGTGTGTATTGTGTATCTCGGTATACCCCTACATGGATAAACCTGGGAAATCATGTCCTTGGTGGCAATGGTTATGTTTACATGTTAATTATATGTTATAATGTGGTTTTACCAATTGTGATATAGGTCATTGTCTGGGGTAGTATTGTTAAAAGAGTTGGGGTGTTCTGTTATGTTTAATATGTGGACAATGACCTTTAAAACATTTAAGTACTATTTATATTTTTTAGGGTGTTTGTTAAGCATATGCCGGAAAAGGCGACTATGCATATGTCAAGTAATGTGTGTACCAGCCATGCATAAGGTGGCTATTCTGGCTCACCACTTTCCCAGAGTTCAATTAGATAAAATTACTGGCCTTTGCATTGCCGATATTTTTGCAAAACTAGCACTGGAAAGACAGTCTCAAATACCAGTTGTGCCGGTAAAACACCAGCCAGATGGCAACCCAAGGCTAATCTCATACGAAAGTTTAAAATGATTAATTACCTTAAATAATAATATTAATAAAGAAAAAAACATTATGGGTGTACACCCTAATGAAATATTCAGTGCATGTACAGCATATGCAGATAACATTTATAAAATACATTAGTTATCTAAGCAAATGGCACGAATGTTTGGCATGTGAGTCACCAGCCATGAGAACAGGCATGGCATTCATTTCATATCAGGACAATATCCAATCCTTACCTTTCCTCACGCTAATTTGTTTTCTTGTCGCATTAAACATATTTTGCTATTCCTTGGGTCATAAGGTATATATATTTAATATAACGTCCTTTATTATAAAAGCTGGAATAGGTCTTGTCTTGATAGTATGAAAAGCAAATAAGTACAATGAACTAAAATAAGGCTAAGTGCATGTAAGTAAGGAAGGTCTTGCAGCTCATAGAATACAAGTGACCCACAGATGGAAATGTCTGCTTGCATGCTGTGTTCAAAATTTCCATGTCAACAATAGTATGTAATACACGAGACACAGGTTGTACGTTAAGATTATTTCAGAGGCAGATGCATTTACAACAGGGGTCAAGTCCTGGGTAAAAAAGTGTTAAAACTCACCCAAGATCCACCCACTCTCGAAAAAAATGGGACAGGGGCTGAGTAAGGGCATGAGGCTGTGTAGGAGGACAGGGGCTGAGTAAGGGGACAGGGCTGAGGAGGGGGGCAGGGGCTGAGTAGAGGGACAGGGGCTGAGTAAAGTGAAAGGGGCTGAGAAAGGTGGACAGGGGCTGAGAAAGGTTGGCGGGGCAGAGGAGGGGGACAAGGGCTGAGTAAGGTGATACGGGCTGAGTAAGGTGACAGGGGCTGAGGAAGGGGACAGGGACGGAGGAAAGGGACAGGGACGGAGGAAAGGGATAGGGGCTGACAGGGACAGGGCTGAGGAAGAGGGACAGGAGCTTAGGAGGGGAGGCAGGGGCTGAGGAAAGGGACAGGGACTGTGGAAGGGGCCAGGGGCTGAGGAAAGGGACAGGAGCTTAAGAGGGGGGGGCAGGGGCTGAGGAAGGGGGACATGGGCAGAGGAAAGGGACAGGGACTTAGTAAGGGGACAGGGCCTGAGGAGGGGGACAGGGCTTGAGTAAGGGGATAAAAAAACAACCTAAATTGCATTACCCCCTCCCTGAGGCTTACGTTGGGCCAGGAGGGGTGGGACAGGATCTGGAGCCTGAAGTCTCCGCTGAAATCCTCTGGAGTTGGTAAGAAGCACTGTTTAGTGATTATAGCCAATTCCCCCAGTAACTGTAGGACACACAGTTCTTGGAGTTAACTGAGGTTTACTGTGCCACATTTTGCTTTTTATGCACAGACCCTCAGCAAGGGGTCTCCATAGAGAAATGCACAAGTTCCTCCCAGGCATCTCTGTGTCTGGGAGATATTTGAGTCCCTGGAAGGCTAACTCAATTATCTCTCAGTTACAGGAAGTAATACAAAATATCACAAAACACCCTAAAAACATATGAAAATTATACACAAGTTGTATAGTCTAATATCCCAGAATAGCCCGTGTCTGAGCGCCCAACATATCCAAATAGTGCTCAGATCCGTTCCGTAAAACGGAATCGATATTCGGGTGAAGTTTTGACCGTCCGGCCACGAGATGATGACCTAAAATAGTTTCAGAGAATCAAGGGCAACGGATGGTCTCCTTTCAGGGGTTCCCGTATGAACACCGATGAACGTTCACCCTGGCTGTTAGGGAGCGAATGCTCCCCCCAGTCGGTAGTTCCTATCGCCCGAACATTCGTGTAGCTGGTCGGGAAGTTGTACGAGCAGCGGTACAATCCTTTCCAGGGTTCGCAAGATTGTGTAGCCGAAATGAGTTCCACGTGCTCAACAACAAAGTAGCACTGCCTGTGTTCGGGAGCCTGCTATGCTCTGGACCATGTGCGATCGATTAAACGAATGGCGGCCAGACAGGGAAAGGACTTGAGTTAATCCTTTAATTGTGGTTAACAGCCAGGGGTGGTCGGTGTTCTGAACTAATAAAAAGGGGGTACATCTTCTGTACGGTCCACGAACACGGGAAGTACAGGAAGACAGGTTCGGGCAACCTCAGGGAATTTTACAAGGTCCACCACAGTCATCATTTTACTGATTTCAAAGGGTAGAAGATTAAGTTGATACAAATGTACACTGTAAGTACCTAAAATACTACAGCTTAATTTAGTGGTTCTGACAATTTAGGCAGTCCAGCAGTCTCTGCAATGAAAACATTGCCTTTTTCTAAGAAAATACACTGCTTGCATTCCCTCCTATGACCACCTGGCTGTCTGAGTGAGTTTCAAGCTGCGGTACTGCAAAGTTTGTATAAAACGCTGAACATTTCCAACAGAGATGCAGTAGTGTATGCATGTCTATGAGAAGATGATGATTGGCATTGCATGCACATTACATCCCTCCTTCTTTCCTATGTGGAAGCATTGGATTGGTTAAGATTATCAGTAATGAAGGGGAGTAGCTGCAGTGAGGCCATTGTGTAGGAGGACTAAGGTTAGTAAAACATGTTTAATCATTTTTGTTGGAGGGAGCTTTTTCTAAACATCAGTGTGAAGATTGGGGTAGGAACCAAAATACACAAACTCAGAACACAACAAAAAAGGGACAATCAGTATACCAATCCTTAGGCCAGGCTAACGGAGTATAGAGTCAGAGTAATAGCCAAAGTAATGGATAGGAAAATACTGGAAAAACAGATACAAACCATGGTCAAAGGAGGACAAAGGTCAGGATAAACATTACACAAGCCAAGAGTCAAATACCAAAGAATCTAAGAACGTGCTATTGCACTAACTAGAACCACAAGAGTGCAACTATAACTGCGACAGGTGATTGATGTGTGGACCGTAATATCATTGGGATGCGACCAGTTCACACCAGTTATCACATCATTAGGATGGCATATTTAAAGATATGCACAAGTAATGTGCAGCATTGGAGATAATGTTGGGACCACGTGGGAGAGCCATGGCGAACCCGGCAATCAGTAATACATGTTTGTATTTAAAGTAAATCATGGGTATAATAGGTTCCTTTAAAGTAAATCATGGGTATAATAGGCTCTATATTTGGTGCGTTAACACATTGAGCTACCATTAGTTATGTGTAACTGCTTAATGACAATGGGCGTGCTATGCCATCCTACAAAAGATGGGCTTTAACGCCATAGGGCAAAAAACTAATGTGAGAAAGGCTGAACTTGATGGAAGCATGTCTCTTTTCAGCTATTTAACTATGTAATGATTGTCATCCCCTTCTCCTTGGGTACTCAACCTCTGCGTCAATCACGATCTGGGGGACTGTCTGACAACTGAGGCTATGGCACCATGATCGCATGACTCGGATCAGCTTAACTAGAAAATCCACTTCAGTGGGAATGCCTGCATTGTCAGTCAGGTTCCCTCGACTTATAATTAATAAAAATAATATAGTTCTACATAAATAATAAACAAAATACATTTAGAATCAAATGTAAGTCCACATTGAGCGAGAGCTACAGGATTCTTTAAAATCCTTTCTTTTATTGGTTTCCAGGTTACATAAAAAATGACAACCTTTCAGTTTTATATAAGAACATTCCTCAGGACATACAACCCCCATTGGAAATCATGTTTATTGTCAAAATATATAGATTTTCAGTTGTTTGCAATGAACAAATCAAACAAAAGCAATTGAAATAGTTAGACACAACGAATGCTTCAAGTGGTTTCCCCAAATTCAACTAAAACTGCAACTTACAATGATATCTCCAGTCTAAAAATTATTCAACCCCCCCAGCACATACATGCAAAACAGGTGTTATCTCAAGCACACCTGGTGCAACTAATCAAGGGCTTAAAATGGCCCTATAAAAAGAGCTCCCCAGAAAAAAGTAACAAATAGTAACAAAAAAACAATTAAATATCCTTGCTAATACATTTGAGATCAATATCGCAAAATGTCTAAGTGGGCAGCAATATCGACCCATCTGTTACAAACAGTGACATTGAACCACAGGGAAAAAGAGTGGCAGTGCGACCAAGAAGGGATGAGCCAGATAAGAAAGTAATTACAGTGATCTCAGTCTTGAAAACTAAACAGGTGGATGAGTTATGGAATTCATTGCAGTACGTATAAGTGGGTGGCAAACAAGGCTCACAAGAAAAGAGTAAGGTAAGGTTTCATTGCGGAGTTTACATTCTTGTGAACAAAACAGGGAGAAAGAATAATCACAAACCCCTTCCCCAACTAAATGGTATGCCATGCTCAGAGAAATTCTCATTCCTATGCTGCCATATGGTCTCAAAGGCAACATAGGCCCCGCAAACCAATCTGGGAAATTCCAATGTATAAAAATTGAAACGGGCAAGCTCTTTATTTGACCCTGTAACTTTCCAAAACCCCATAAAACAAGTACATGATGGGGGGGAGAGGGGTACTGTTGGACACCTAATGGCTTTAAACCACTCCTTTTGCATTAAGGGATTAATATGAAATATATATTGCACATAGATAGTGGCTTATGTACACAGCTAAAGCTGGCTGACTAAATACAAAAAATTATAAAACAAAGTATCACAGCGCAATGATTATAATAATAACTAATCAGAGCATCAAACCAACATAAAAGTAACTAGTACCACAGATAAAATTCACTGGAGGAAAATCAGCAGATATGGGTGGATGAGAGTTAGGAAGCAAACCTCTCCAGACAATTATGCACCAGTGTGGGAGAATCACCAAAGTCCTCGGCATGGCTGGAGTTAGGAAGAAGTCTGAGCTCCTTATGAATTCGCTTGTGCTGCATATAATGAGCAGTTAGTGAAAGCTGAAATAAACCCAGGGGATCCCTAAATCTGTTAAAATACAGCAGTTATCTATGAAGAGTGAACTACCTCCTTATAGAGATACTATTAATTATGTTTAAAAGATTTTTTAACTGTTTGCAATTGTGTTTGGGATATTATGAATAACATGTTTACTTACATTAAAGGGACACTATAGTCTTAATGTAGTTGTTCTGGTGAGTATAATAGCTCCCTTCAGGCATTTTCATGTAAACACTGCCTTTTCAGAGAAAATGTAGTGTTTACATTGCCCCAAGGCACCCCTCCAAGTGGCCACTCCTCAGATGGCCGTTGGAGGGGCTTCCTGGCTCAAAGATGCCCTGCCGTTCAGCATCCCCATGCTCTGCATGGAGACGCTGAATTTTCCTCATAGAGATGCATTGATTCAAAGCATCTCTATGAGGAGGTCCTGATTGGCCAAAATGGCATTTGGCCCCGCGCCGATTTTAGCCAATCCAATTGTATTGGATTGCCTAAAAATCTGCCATTTTGATGATGTCACAAAGGGGGCAAAGCCAGTGCCAGCACACCCGCGTGGCGCTGGAAATAAGGTGAGTTTTAAAATGTATAGGGGGCCTAAGGGGGGACAAGCCACCTGAATGGTGGGTTTAGTACTATAGGGTCAGGAATACATGTTTGTGTTCCTGACCCTATAGTGATCCTTTAACCTTTTGTGTGATTTAGAACAGAATGCAGAGGACTAATGCTGTTCTTTGGCTCAAGTGACATCATTTCCAGTATCTCTGCTCAAGGTCGAACGAGTTCAGATGATACATTTGATTATGAGCATGATTAGACATGGAAGAGGATACAGAAAATGTTACTGGTATTGAGAGGGAAAGTACTGACATGGATTAAAAAGAAAAGGGATTTAAATTGTTATAATGTTTTGCATTTTTTTAAACATTGTTATAAAAATATAAATATTTTTTAAATCCATAATTTCCATGTAAATTAAAATACTACAGAGCTTATAAGAACGAGATGCTAGAAGAGAGCTCAGGATGTTAATCTATCAAATAACAACTGCGGGAATTTACCACACTTGAGTAACATTTGAGTTCAATAATTTTGTAACTCATTCTAAAATTTAGCCAAACTCACATTACTTACATGTCACTTGTTAACTAGAAAAAACTAATCTTGAAAACAACTGAATTTGCAGCTTTTCCTTGAAATGCGATTTATTCTTCAGCTAACCTTTTACACTTTACTCAGTAATGTTATTATGGGTTATTAATGACACACACAGGGGTTTATTCATTTAACAGCAAGGACAAAAATTATAAAACAAGTCTCCAGCTCAGCCAAATATGGAATTGTTTCCATCTTGCTATTTTAACCTGTATTCTGGCACTTTAACTTCAAATCTGACTTTATGCTGAATTAAAACCCAAGGTTAAGAAAGCATTCTTTTACACTGTAAAGTTAAAGAGACACAAGAGGCAACAAAGCAACTTTAGCTCAATATAGCAGTTTTAGTGTATATATCATGTCCCCTGCAGTTTCACTGTTGAATTCTCTGCCATTTAAGAGTTAATCACTTTGATTATGCAGCCCTAGCCATACCCCCCTGTAAAAAACATGCACAGCCTTCCTAAACACTTCCTGTAAAGAGAGATCTAATTTTTTAAAGTTTTCTTAGTCTGTCTAATTTCTTATATCTTGCTCTGTTAATAGCCTAATATAGTCTGTGCATGAGCTTCCTGCCTATGATTAAAGTTTAATTTACAGAGCAGGAGATAAAAACTTCTACAGAATGTCAACATCTGATTGAAAATGAAATGAAGTGTGCATCACTGCTAAGGGGGGTGTGACTAGTGCTGCATAAACAGAAACAAAAATGTTTTACATAGGCTGAAAAGAGACATGCATCTCTTTCTGAACTTCTAAATGGCAGAGAATTGAGCAATGAGACTGCATGGGCCTGCTCTATACACCAAAACTGCTTCACTAAGCTCCAGTTGTTCTGGTGCTTATAGTGTCCATTTAAGCTGTTATTCCTGAAAAACTAAGGTGTGAGATTGCACTGTGGAGTTCTCTCTTGTTAAACCCTTCAGGACCGGACTGTTTTGGCCATGTTGTACGTTAAGGACCAGAGCTGTTTTAAAAAAATTTTGGTGTTTGTGTTTAGTAGTGATGTCGCGAACACGAAATTTTTGGTTAGCGAATGGCGAACGCGAACTTCCGCAAATGTTCGCGAACCGGCGAACCGCGTGAACCGCCATAGACTTCAATGGGCAGGCGAATTTTAAAACACACAGGGACTCTTTCTGGCCACAATAGGGATGGAAAAGTTGTTTCAAGGGGACTAACACCTGACTGTGGCATGCCGGAGGGGGATCCATGGCAAAACTCCCATGGAAAATTACACAGTTGATACAGAGTCTGGTTTTAATCCATAAAGGGCAGAAATCACCTAACATTCCTAAATCACAATCAATATGGATTGACACCTGACATATGACATATTGACACCTTGACATATGGATTGACACCTGTCCTCAGAGCCCCTGATGCACACGGACACAGAGCAGAATAGAGACTGGTCCCCCTACATAGTGTCACTTGGCAGATATGGATTGACACCTGTCCTAAGGATCCCTGATACACACTGACACAGAGCAGAATAGGGACTGTTCCCCTACATCGGGTCACTTGGCAGATATGGATTGACACCTGTCCTAAGGATCCCTGATACACACTGACACAGAGCAGAATAGGGACTGTTCCTCCTACATCGAGTCACTTGGCAGATATGGATTGACACTGTCCACAGGGACAAGCTGCAGACTTCCTGGCAGGGCCCATACAAGGTGGTAGAGCAGGTTTGTGATACCACCTTTGTGATCGGTACGGTCACAGGCACGGGAGGCAAGCGCATGCTCCATGTGAACAACCTCAGGCGCCTATCCTATGCCCCGGATAGACGAGCTCCTAGACAAAATGGCCAGAGGGCAGTACCTCACCACAATAGATCTGTGCAAGGGGTACTGGCAAATTCCATTAGCCGAGGACGCCATCCACAAGTTGGCATTTGTCACCTTGTTTGGCCTGTATCAGTTTAAGGTCATGCCATTGGGGATGAAGAATGCCCCGGCTAACTTTCAGAGGATGGTAGATCGGCTACTGGATGGGTTTCAGGAGTATGCCTGCGCCTACTTGGATGATATAGCCATTTTTAGCTGCTCCTGGCCCTAACACCTGACCCACATAGGAGCCGTACTAGACCGGATTAGGGAGGCCGGACTGACCCTAAAGCCCAGTAAGTGCCATATAGGAACGTGTAAAAACCTCCCCAAGATAGTAGTATGGGCCCCAGAGTGTGAACAGGCCTTCCAACAGCTCAAGACGGCGCTCATTAAATCACCTGTACTTTCTGCTCCTGATCCAACTAAACACTTTCTCGTCCATACAGACGCTTCTATGTTTGGATTGGGAGCAGTACTGAGCCAAGTCGGAGCAGATGGTGGCGAGCAACCCGGGGCTTATCTAAGCCGTAAACTTTTGCCCAGGGAAGTAGATACACTGCCATTGAAAAGGAGTGCATGGCGGTGGTGTGGGCCCTCAAAAAGCTGCAACCTTACTTGTATGGACAACCGTTTACCTTACTCACAGATCACAACAAATTTGGGGCACTGCGCGTGCAATCTAATGTGCCACCAGATAGGAGTGGTGTGTTTAGTACTATTGTTATCAGTTTAATCACTGTTACGCCCCATATCCGTTGATGTGGAGCAAGACGCAGCAGCAGAAGAGGACTAAGCCGAGGAGGTTATGGAAGAGGATGGAGTAGGAGGAGTAGAGGAGGTGGCAGTAGGCCTGCCTGCAAGTCGTGGCGGTGTCACCAACTCCTCTGCAGAGCCACGCATTCCATGCTTGGCAGCCGTCAGCAGGTTTACCCAATGCGCAGTGTAGGTGATATACCTGCCCTGACCATGCTTTACAGACCAGGTATCAGTGGTCAGATGGACCCTTGCCCCAACACTGTATGCCAGACATGCCATTATTCCCTTTTGCACAATCGAGTACAGATTGGGGATTGCCTTTTGTGAAAATAAATTTCATCCGGGTACCAGTGAGTGAGTGGTGGCACTGGGCACAGTATCCACTGTGAGCCTGACACACCTGCTGGCAGACAACTAACTGCTATTCAATCTATAACAGTGAAAAAAGTTTTTTGTTTTTAAATGCAAGCTATTGTGACACCAGTGAGTGAGTGGTGGCACTGGCCACCGTATCCACTGTGAGCCTGACACACCCGCTTTAAGGACACTGACTGCTATTCAATCTATAACAGTGAAAAAGTTTTTTGTTTTTAAATGCAAGCTATTGTGACACCAGTGAGTGAGTGGTGGCACTGGGCACAGTATCCACTGTGAGCCTGACACACCCGCTTTGAGACAACTAACTGCCATTCAATCTATAACAGTGAAAAAAGTTTTTTGTTTTTAAATGCAAGCTATTGTGACACCAGTGAGTGGTGGCACTGGGCACCTTATCCACTGTTAACGTAACACACCCGCTTTAAGGACACTGACTGCTATTCAATCTATAACAGTGAAAAAAGTTTTTTGTTTTTAAATGCAAGCTATTATGACACCAGTGAGTGGTGGCACTGGTCACCGTATCCACTGTTAGCGCAACACACCCGCTTTAAGGACACTGACTGCTATTCAATCTATAACAGTGAAAAAAGTTTTTTTGTTTTAAATGCAAGCTATTGTGACACCAGATATAAGTGGTGGCACAGACTGGGGAAATGGGCACAGTATCCACTGTGAGCCTGACACAGAAGCTGGCAGCAGTGGCAGACAACTGACTGCTATTCAATCTATAACAGTGAAAAAAGTTTTTTGTTTTTAAATCCAAGCTTTGTGTCACCAGATCTAAGTGGTGGCAATGGGCACAGTATGCACTGTGAGCCTGACACAGAAGTTGGCAGCAGTGGCAGACAACTGACTGCTATTCAATCTATAACAGTGAAAAAAGTTTTTTGTTTTTAAATGCAAGTTATTGTGACACCAGTGAGTGGTGGCACTGGGCACCGTATCCACTGTTAGCGTAACACACCCGCTTTAAGGACACTGACTGCTATTCAATCTATAACAGTGAAAAAAGTTTTTTGTTTTTAAATGCAAGCTGTTGTGACACCAGATATGAGTGGTGGCACTGGGCACCGTATCCACTGTTAGCTTAACACACCCGCTTTAAGGACACTGATTGCTATTCAATCTATAACAGTGAAAAAAGTTTTTTGTTTTTAAATGCAAGCTATTGTGACACCAGTGAGTGGTGGCACTAGGCACCGTATCCACTGTTAGCTTAACACACCCGCTTTAAGGACACTGACTGCTATTCAATCTATAACAGTGAAAAAAGTTTGTTTTTTTTAAATGCAAGCTATTGTGACACCAGTGAGTGGTGGCACTGGGCACCGTATCCACTGTTAGCGTAACACACCCGCTTTAAGGACACTGACTGCTATTCAATCTATAACAGTGAAAAAAGTTTTTTGTTTTTAAATGCAAGCTATTGTGACACCAGATATAAGTGGTGGCACTGACTGGGGAAATGGGCACAGTATCCACTGTGAGCCTGACACAGAAGCTGGCAGCAGTGGCAGACAACTAACTGCAATTACATTACATAGAAATTTTTTTTTTTTAAAAGCATACCCTAACCCTAACCTAGCTATGCATTTCCCTATCTAATCAACAGCAGCTACACTTTCCCTCCTCTCACTAAGCATGCAGCTTGAGAATGAATGTAAAATGGATGCCTTCCAGTAGGTGGGAGGGTCTGCTAGGGAGGGTGTGCTGCTAATTGGCTGGAATGTGTCTGCTGACTGTGAGGTACAGGGTCAAAGTTTACTCAATGATGACGAATAGGGGGCGGATCGAACCGCGCATATATTCGCCCGCCGTGGCGAACGCGAACATGCTATGTTCGCCAGGAACCGTTCGGTACATCACTAGTGTTTAGCTGTAATTTTCCTCTCTCTCATTTACTGTTCCCATACAAGTTATATATTGTTTTTTTCAGGACAAGAAGGGCTTTCTTTACATACCATTATTTGTATCATGTAATATAATTTACTTTAAAAAAAATATATATATATATATATGGTAAAAAGTTGAAAATACAACAACATGCTTTTACTTATCTACAAAAGCTAATGAAAAAACTGCTAAACAGATTCAAACGTGTCCTGAGTTAAAAAAATACCCAGTGTTTACATGCTATTTTTTGTTTTTGCAAGTTATAGGGCTATGAGTACAAGTAGGACATTGCTGTTTCAAAATACATATTTTTAAAGAGTGATCAATAGTAACATTGTAACACTGTTATCTGTCATAAATTTCTGCATCACACCTCACATGTACATTTTTTTTTTAAAGTAGACAACCCAGGGTATTCAATATGGGGTATGTCCTTAAGGGGTTAAAGACAGTTGAAAGGTAATGGGCAATTCGGTGAGCTGGTCTTGGAACACACTCAGAGGCTGGTAAAGGAGGAATTCCAAGCAACAGAGGATTGTTAGGTGGTATTCCTGGTAGCCGGTAAACCCGACTAAAAAGCACAACATAAAATAGTAATCAATTATTAGTTCTATTGTAATCGAGAGGTTGAAGATTTTATTGCGATAAATTTTGTTAAAAGCTTGATTTATAATTTTAAATGTTGTTAAAAAAAAATTTGGGTAGTTATTTTATTTATTATTTATTTGTATTGTGTTACTTTACAAAACATTGTGATCAAGAAGCCATACAGTATAATTTAAAAAATAATTTATAAATGATTTTGAAGTAGACATTGAAAATCATTTGTCAGTGTTTGCAGATGACACAAAACTAGGTAATAAAATAGTGTCTGAACATAATTTACAGAGGGACTTGGATAAATTCAATATAGATAAATGCAAAGTCATGCATTTTTGAATAAGGAACCCACAAGCCACTGGGCCTTTTTGCCTTCTTTTGGATCAACAGCAAAAACCAAATGTGAGGAAGGCTGAACTTGATGGACTCAAATCTCTTTTCAGCTATGTAACTATGTAGAGCTAGAGATAACATTAAATGAAAAAGCTTGTTGTTATAGATTACAAACTATGCAACAGTATGCAATGCCAGGTTGCCACTGCAAAAGTTAGTAGTTTCTGGGGGGTTCTAATCCTGCCAGTGTTTTTATTTGTCTGACTAATGTGTAATTAAACAGTTAATTTTTAGGAATGCCCAATGTTCTATCATGAAAGCTTAAATATTTACGTGCTTTTTGGACTGTTGCTGGAATTCCCTGTTCCAGGGTTAGAAACTAATATTTAAAACTTGACACAAACACAAACTGCAACACATTAGTACAATTAGTACAACACATTCATTTCTCTTTTTGAAGAACATGGTTGTTTGGAGGCAAGAAGTCCTGTATTCTATTTATGTGGACACTTATGTGGATATTCTGAATGGCAGAATATGGAGATATCACTGAACAGGAGAGTCTTCTAAATTCTGGACACTGTCTCTGCCACACCTTTTAAGATCCTGGTGGTTACATTTACTGCTGTTATTTATTATGATATGGCTTGCTGCCATAATTTATAAGTCAATAGAGTTAAAATGTCGAACACAACTCAATAGGTCACTAAAAGTTAAGGGGACACAACAAGTATATAGTGACCTCCCATCATTTTTGAATGTATTATTTAGATAATGCATTACAAATATCATAGGTGTGGAATTTTTTTTTTTTAAATCTACTTGTCCAAGGGACTAAAGCTGCAGCCCAATTTACATGTGCATCACACAAAATATTATCAATTACAAAGATTTGGGGTCCTTGCCTACAGCTGTAGACATTTACAGGGCTATTTGCTAAACTCATTGTCACAAATTGAATCTGAATAGAAAAATAGTTGATATTGAAATATTCTCTAGCTTTGCTAGAGTTAGAACATGGTTATTTTTGCTTCAATTCTGCTATTAAAAAAATTATTTACTTTGCAAAAAGAATGTAGTTTTGCCCTTTGCCATAGTGTGTGTGCTAGCTGCGTGTAACATGTATTGGCTGTATATAATGTGTGTGTGTGTGTGTTGACTGCATGTAAAGTGTGTGTGCTGGCTGTATGTATTAAATGTGTGTATGTGCTGGCTGTACATATAACGTGTGTGGTGTGTGCTAGCTGTATGTAATGTGTGTGTTGGCTGTATAGTTAAAGTAATGTGATTCAGATTTTTATTCACTTCAATCTGAGAAGTGATGCTTATAACATACACATGTAAATATCAATATAATACACATATATTAATATACATTTGTATGCATAATACTCCTAAATTGTTGAATTTGTTTAATCAGACTTTGTCCTCACTAACTTACACATCCTTTTTTTTTACATATACACTGCAACATTCAATACTGACACATACACTGTTATTCTGACACACATACCCACAATCACTGGCCCACACACTGTCAATCTGACACACACTCTGAAACACATACTGACAAACGCACAATTACTGACCAACACACTGTTTTTCTGATGTACACCGACACCCACAAACATACACTCTATAATCACACACAAGCAAATTAACATACACACTAAGCCAGTGTTTCCTACGTTGTGTTCTGCGGAACCCTGGATTTCCATGAGAACAAAATTGGGGTTCCACTGCGATTTGCCCATCAGGTAGTTATCGATGTACAGGGGCCCAGTCGGGTTGCACGACTCTTTAAGAGCGTGACCGGGCCCCTGCAGTATCAGAGGACTGGGAGGAAGTGACAGCCTGGCACTTTCTCCCAGCTTCATTGGAGAGAGACATGCCGGAGGAATGGAGTCAGGGATGAAGAGGCTGGAGGGAGCAGCACAGCAGCATGGAGGCATAAGAGAGGCTGAAGTGAGCTGCTGCTGCATGCTTCCTCCCCATTAGCCTCAGTTAGGACCAGACCACAAAGCAAGCCACCATTCTGGCCACCAAGGTAAGCTAACAGGAGGGTGGCTGCAAATACAAACATTTTAACATGCATGTGTTTATGTATGTCAGATTGTGTGTGTGTATCAGTGTGTGTATGCGTCAGTGTGTATGTGCCAGTGTGTGTCAGTGTGTATCTGAGTATGTATGTGTCAGTGTGTGTATCTGTGTCAGTAAGTATCGGTGTTTGTATGTGCCAGTGTGTGTATCTGTGTGTCTATGTGTGTGTATCAGTGTGTATCTGAGTGTTTATGTATGTGCCAGTGTGTGTATCTGTGTGTCAGTGTGTGTATCTGAGTGTGTATGTATGTGCCAGTGTTTGTATCTGTATGAGTGTGTGTATCCGAGTGGGTGTATCTGAGTGTGTATGTGCCAGTGTGTATATGTGTGTCAGTGTTTGTATATGTGTGTCAAGGTGTGTATGTGCCAGTGTGTGTGTGTGTGATTATGTCAGTATTAGAGGCTTAACCAGAAACCACGGGGCTCCGGTGCAAAAATTGCCCTGGGTCCCCCCCATACCTCTACCCCCCACCCTGTACGTCCCCGTTCCCATACATCTTCCCCCCCACCCCATATGTCCCCCCGACCCTACACATGCAGACAAACAGATACACACGCAGACACACATACACACACATACATACATAAAAGCACACACACATACACAGAGACCCATACATACAGACACACACACACACACACATACATACATACACACAGACATGTAGACACACACATACATCCAGACACACACACACAGACACATACATACAGAAACACATAAATACAGACACATACATACACACAGAGACACACACGCATACAGACAAACACACACAGACACACACACACAGATATACTGATACAGACATTCTCTATCACACACACACACAAACTTACCTGGGATCCAGTGGCTGCCTAAGAACTAACTATTGTTGGTGTGTCTGACAGTTTATTTACTAGAATGAGAATTCAAAGTAAATTTCAAATACAATGCTGAACTGAAAACATGATATGGTACAAAATATGTGGGATACAGCTGGATACCTAAAATATAAAATAACAAAAGATAGTGCAAGACTGTATAATTATGTCAACAGTGCCTTCTGCCTTCTGATAGGTGAACCAAGACCTGCCTGGGGACCACACACAGTACCCCAGGTGGGAAGAAGACCTGGTCTCTGTACAAGAGCCCTAAGAGTACAAAATCCCAGGTGCAGAAAATGGATACGCCTGTACAACAAAGGAGGGGAAAGATGTACTGACTGGGGCGGGTGGGTAAAAGGGTGGGCCACTGACACAAATCACGTAACCAAAACTGCCCAAAGGGGTGAACTTGCCCAAACAGGGGGCGTGTCTGCACAAAAAATTAGATGGCGTGAATACACGTTAGGGTGCCTGCCAGTCATGCAGGAAGACCAACCAAGGGCATACTGTGCAGACAGCCCCCTGAGCTTGGCATAAATGTGTCTAATGATGCGCTAGCTCTATGGTTTCTAAGGACTGTCCCCTAGCATTTGCTGGTCCATTCCTCTACTAACCTTCTTACTGGCAGGCAGAAACTCCTATGTTAATCTGGCCCTGATCTATCCTAGTCCTAACAATGTCCCTTCAACTCTCCTTACTATTGCCAGGCAGAGTGTTCAAAGTACATTATACGATAATACTGAAATGGAAATTTTATGGAAAAAGTTTACTTTTTTTTTTTACTAATAAAATCATACAAATATGAATATTTGTCAAAAAATTATTGTTTGTATTCAGGGTGGGTGACTCTAAGAGACAGGCACCTATAGGCCGCTGCCTACTCTGTCTACTTGCAAATTCAGTCCTGTATCTTTCTCTTCTGCTGACAGATTTTGGACTAATTGGATGTGGGGAATGACTGATACAATAAAGTGAGGATTATGGTGGACAAAATATATAAATTGTCCTTGTAGAATAGACAAATACCCAACACATAAAAAGTTAAACAATAGCACTTGCATGGTTAATATCTGATAATGTTGTACTTAGACTGGTAAGAAGGACATATAGTGATTATACTCTGATGTAATAAATAAATATATAATGTTTAAAGTGTTTCTGCATATGTTTAGATTACTGGGTCCCCACCTTTAAATGAAATAAATTGAACTCTTTGATTTTTTGGTCTCCACACTGCAGCTGACCAGTGCCTAGAGAATTATTAGGGTCCTATGGCACATGCAAATATATTAAAAGGACACTCTGCCCAAATACAAAATAATAAAATATATATTTTTTTTTAATCTGCAGATAAACCCCCAATGACAACATGAGTGCATTTTCTCTTTGGGGGTATATCTTAAACAAGCTGAGAAGATCTCTTGTCTGAAGTCGTTGCAAGCCCTCTTCTTCTACTGCAGTCCGAATTTTCTGTGGCTGTTCAATCACAGTCTTCCAATGCAACTCAGTAAAAAAGTATTTGCAAAACAGATGCTCTGCACAATTGTATGCCACTTGAGTTTTGCACCAGTGAGATAAACAACCCATGAAGGAACATGATCTGTTGATTGACAGCCAGGAAGGTAAAACAATTTAATTTATAAAAGTACCAATTTCTACTAAAATCTGCACATTTTTTAACATGTAAAAAAGGACACACTTTTTACACATAAAGTACTTAAAGGAACACTATAGGGTCAGGAACACATACATGTATTTCTGACTCTATAGTGATAAACTATTTAGCCCCCCTGGCTTCCATTATCCTCTTTAATGGTAGTAAATACCCACCTTTTTTTCTAGCGATCCGCCTCCTTGTCTGACCTCATCAAAATCGATGATTTTAGCCAATCACAATGATTTCCCATATAAAAGCATTGGATTGGCTAAGATTGTCAATTCTGATGATTTCAGCCAAGGAGGAGGTCTGAGGGGAAGGGGAGGGCGAGCCAAACGCCGCCATGGCAAATCAACTTCTTTTCATAGAGCTGCATTGAATCAATGTATCTCTATGGGGAAAGTTCAGTGTCTGCTGAACATCAGTGCTGAAGTGTGGCCATCTGAGGAGTGGCCACTGGAGGTTTCCCTAGGCTGCAATATAAACATTGCCTTTTCTCTGAAAAGGAAGTGTTTGCATGAAAAGCCTGCAGGGACTGACTATACTCAGCAGAACAACTACAATAAGTTGTGGGTGTTCTTGTGAATATAGTGTCCCTTTAAAGTAACACTATAGTGTCAGGAACAAAATCATATATTCCTGACACTACAGTGGTAAAATCACAGCCACTACAGGTGATACTCAAAAAATTAGAATATCGTGCAAAAGTTCATTTATTTCAGTAATGCAACGTAAAAGGGGAAACTAATATATGAGATAGACGCATTACGTGCAAAGCAAGATAGTTCAAGCCGTGATTTGTCATAAGTACGATGATTATGGCTTACAGCTCATGAAAACCCAAAATCCACAATCTCAGTAAATTTGAATATTGTGAAAAAGTGCAATATTCTAGGCTCACAGTGTTCCACTATAATCAGCTAAGTAAGCCTTAACACCTGCAAATGGTTTCTGAGCCTTTAAATGGTCTCTCAGTCTGGTTCAGTAGGAATAACAATCATGGGGAAGACTGCTGACCTGACAGTTGTGCATAAAACCATCATTGACACCCTCCATAAGGAGGGAAAGCCTCAAAAGGTAATTGCGGAAGTTGGATGTTCCAAAAGTGCTGTATCAAAGCACATTAATAGAAAGTTATGTGGAAGAAAAAGGTGCATAAGCAGCAGGGATGACCGCAGCCTGGAGAGGATTGTCAGGAAAAGGACATTCAAATGTGTTGGGGACTTTCACAAGGACAGGACTGAGAGCCACCACGCACAGACGGATCCTGGACATGGGCTTCAGATGTCATATTCCTCTTGTCAAGCCGTCATGAACAACAAACAACGTCAGAAGTGTCTTACCTGGGCTAAAGAAAAACAGACCTGGTCTATTGCTCAGTGGTCCAAAGTCCTCTTTTCTGATGAGAGCAAATTTTGCATCTCATTTGGAAACCAAGGACCCAGAGTCTGGAGGAAGAATGGAGAGGCACACACTGCAAGATGCTTGAAGTCTAGTGTGAAGTTTCCACAGTCTGTGTTGATTTGGGGAGCCATGTCACCTGCTGGTGTTGGTCCACTGTGCTTCATTAAGTCCAGGGTCAACGCAGCCGTCTACCAGGAGATTTTGGAGCACTTTATGCTTCCTTCCGCAGACGAGCTTTATGGGGATACTGACTTCATTTTCCAGCAGGACTTGGCACCTGCCCACACTGCCAAAAGCACCAAAAGCCTGGTTCAATGACCGTGGGATTACTGTGCTTGATTGGCCAGCAAACTCGCCTGACCTGAACCTCATAGAGCTATGGGGCATTGCCAAGAGAAACATGAGAGACATAAGACCGAACAATGCAGAAATGCTGAAGGCCGCTATTGAAGCATCCTGGTCTATAACACCTCAGCAGTGCCACAGGCTAATAGCTTCCATTCCACGCCGCATTGAGGCAGTAATTGCTGCAAAAGGGGCCCAAACCAAGTACTGAGTCCATATGCATGCTTATACTTTTCAGAGGTCCGATATTGTTCTATGTACACTCCTTGTTTTATTGATTGCATGTAATATTCTAATTTACTGAGATTGTGGATTTGGGGTTTTCATGAGCTGTAAGCCATAATCATCGTACTTATGATAAATCACGGCTTGAACGATCTTGCTTTGCATGTAATGCGTCTATCTCATATATTAGTTACCCCTTTTACGTTGCATTACTGAAATAAATGAACTTTTGCACGATATTCTAGTTTTTTGAATATCACCTGTAGATGTGTTACTAGGCAGTAATGTAAACACTGCCTTTTCTATGCAGGGACATAGACCAGACACATAGACACCAGAACCACTACGTTAAGCTTTTGTTCTGGTGCCTATAGTGTCAATTTAAGCAGCTTAAAGTACTATAGGTGTTTGGAGAGTTCCATTAAGAAAAGTTATTTTACTTATATTTTTAGCATACGTTTTACAAAGAATCACAGAAACATCTCCATAAAGGACAAATGCTAGGGTTACATTTGAAAGGTGGTTATGTAATTTTTGATAACTTGTTACTAGCAAGTTTGTCTAGTAAGTAATGATTGGCTATTTTAATGTTACTTATTAAGCAGCTACTGAGCGGATTATAACTACTGCTGATAGATTATGACTTAAAGGGACACTCCAGGCACTCAGACCACTTCTTCTCATTGTAGTGGTCTGGGTGCCAACTCCCACCACCCTTAACCCTGCAAGTGTAATTATTACAGACAATTTCTGACTGCCACAAGAGGTGTAACTAGGTTGCAATGTAAACACTTCCTTTACTGACTGGAGCAATGCAAAGCATGCACAAGAGCATGCACAAGAGCATGCACAAAGAATTAGGCGTTATGGCACACAAATAAGCACTGCTATCGGGTAAAATAAAATCAGAGGAAAAACAGCTTCATTTTTTTACAAAATAAAATAACAGTGAAAAGCACAGTGCATGCATGTGAGATACATTAAGAGATTAAAACAAAGGATGATTATATGCACTAAGATTAACTGAGAATGAGAAAAGCCCTTGGAGTTCCCCCTTGCCAGTGAACTGTGAGTCCCACAGATAATAAAAGAAAAATAAGCATAAATAATAACATTTGATATACAGTTGGGACATGTTGACAGGTGTAGAAAGTATCTCAGCTCAGCTTAGGGGTCAACCAATGCCCTGCTGGAGACAGAGTCCTGCCACAAGAGTCCAGATATCTGGCCCAGAAGCCCACATGAGAGAGAACAGTGAAGCACAATGTAGTGTTCAGGTAGGACGGTTAGGTCTACCTGATTCTTGCTAGGGGAAATTAGATCCAGCGTGGTTTGAGGTACGGGTTGATTGTCTTGCGGCGCCTCAAAGAGTCACTCACCACCAACCTTAAGATAGTTCTCTTGCATCACATGGGCCCGAGCATGAGAGGTGCCATCCGCACTTACTAGAGCTTCACTTAATGTTGGAGGTCAAGTGCCGAAGCTCCCACAAAGTGTGTCCTTCTGGCATGACAGTCAGGCCCCTCCCCCCCATCCATTCAGTATCTAGCCATTTGGACTTTGGTGAATAACTCTGTATATCTCTGGTGCTTAAACATAACTTATTTACTTGCATGGACCTGACCTCTGATTCCTCATTTCTTTATTTTATTTATATAAAATATGGATGAATAAATATGTCTATCAGGGTCTGACATACTTAGCTGTGCTATTACATTAAAGATTTTTACATAACAAAATAAAAATGCTGAACCATCCTAAAAAACAAGCAACTCAAAATACTGCAATTGTTTCATCTTTATGGATTAGTGTTGCATTTTGTGTTGTTTATTGATAAAACAGCTTCGAGTGTTCTTTCTATTTTGGTTGGTTGTCTGTTATTTTTCTAAGTAAAGTCCAAAAAAGATTATTGTGCAATACTTAATTGCAGTCTATAATAAACACTTTATTACTTATTACTTGTTTGTATTGTTTGTGATTTCCTTAGACTTTGGTAGCTATAGTTCCAACAAGAGATCATTTTTGTTTACTTGTATTAGCCACAAAACCTGTTCAAGTGAAAGGTAATTCATACTTTTCTATCCAGGTACTCTTTACCGAAAGGTAAGTTGTGGAATTATTGTCTATTATGGGGTACATTCCAATCTATCTTTATCAATATGTTAAAGGCTGCAGATGTACAATTAACCCATTAAGAATGGAGGCCATTCCAACTTGAACCAAAACAAAACCTAGAATTTGTGCTATGGGTTTGTTAAAAAATATTTTTTTAAACATCAAGTGCAACTAATTAAAAGGAATTTAAAATTGATTCACATACCATATGTCTCACATGTCTAGAGTTTAAAAAAATTGTTGGCAGTTAGTCCTAACACGATACCAACCCTACCCCTACTCTGACGCCAGCACGTACCTGTTTCAACCTCCTGTTTTTACCCTCTCAGGTTTTTTCAAGCACATACCACGATCTCCTGAGGTCTACTTTTATATCCACTGAGACCAATGGAATATGCAGGCAGTAACTATTTTATACAGAATATAGCAATTAAGTAAAATCATTCAAAGTGATAACATTTTAAGTTACACAGTACAACATTTACATAGTATTACAACGGCGAAAACTCATGCAGCTATCTATAATTCTAGATAAGACAAAAAATGGCAAGTAGACCATAAAATATACCATAAATAGAGTATATATTAGAGTATTATACAAATAATAAGAAAGAGAACCACAAAAGGGCTGGGGTTCAAGAGGGGGATTAAGGGACAAACAGGTAAATATATACATTTTCGGGGGAGAACAGGGGTTCGGCAAAATGCATATTCGCCTGTGTAGCCAAAAATCCTTGCACCAGCCCTGCTGGGCTCTTACCACTTTACACATTTATTAAGACATTAACAGTTAGAGTGCCATGTAGAAATTGGAAAATAACATTTCTTGATTACACGTTTTTAGATTGAATTCATATTAAATTAGGTTTCATATATAATTATTTCATATGAAATGAAAGCCCTGTTTCTTCTGAACACAATGATATATAATAAGTGTGGGCGCACTTAATATGAAAGAGGTGAATTATGGTTGATCACAGATATAGCGCAAATTCCAGGTTTTGTTTTTGCTTTGGTCAGAACTGTACAATTGCCTCCATCCTTAAGGGGTTAAGGAAGCAGTGTTGGAGTATAGATCATGTCAATGCAGTCTCACTGCTCAATTACTAGCCTCAGCTATTAAGCTAAAGTTGTCTTGGTCCCTATAGTGTCTGTATAAATGTGGCATAGATGATAAAATGTGCCAAATAGGCTAAATGTGGTATAATTCATTAAATATAACAAATGGGGATTTAAATGTAGCAAATGGTATAGAGATTAACGGTGTAAACTCTGGTAAATGTGTTGAATTTGTATATGGAATTAAATATGACATATTTAATGAAAAATGTCGTAAATGGTATAAACAATGTAATATGTGATGTGTCATATGCGATTAACCCTTTCGTGTGCCGAATAGGCATAAAAAGAATATTGGTTGATATGACCTGTACACTGGTCAATTACACTTCTACTTGATTTCCAATTTCATCTACCACTAACTGCAACTCTTTGCCTTCAAATCCATGTTCTAACCCCCTATTTTGCACTTCTCATTATTCCTACAAAACCATTAATATTGTTTTTTTTTTTAATTCTTTATTTTCGCCATGCATAATAACAGTTTCATGTTTACAATAACGTGACAGTAAAATCAAAGGTTCAACATATCTCAATATAGGTATTTGCATTTAGGCGACTGCACAATGTGGTGAAAACTAACTAGTTATTCCAATAGACGTGTGTTCTCTGGGTTAGGTTGAAGGGATCGTGATACTCAAATACTTGTATTGCCGAAGTCTCAGCCATTGCGTTATTCGTTTTTCCTGGTGGCAAATGTATGTAGTAAATGTCTTGTGCCGATTTATGTCTAGGGCACATCTGATGGAAGTAATCTGTTACATTTTTGAATGTACTGACTATGTGTGGGTTATCCTCAGGTCAGTATGATATAGTGTTAACAGTGATCTAACGCCATTCTGTAGCTCTTGACCTATCTGTGGTACCCCTAACCTATGGGGTGACGGGGAGGAGGGGGAGGACGGGTGATGGAGATCCTCCAAGTTTAGGCGGCACACTAAACGGGCTTTGAGATCGTATATTGGAGTGAGGAGTGTGGGGTTCTCAGGCAGAGGAGTTACATGCGCTCCTCTGAGCACAGCCCTTTGTGGCTGACTAGGGCTCAATGTGTTTCTATTAGTGCCTCGTATTATGCGAGTAGCCATATGACCTCGTATAATTTGGTATAGAGAAGGAAAAGTATAATGCTTAAGCTTCGGGTTTACCATTATTATTCTGCCACTGCCCACTATACCTAAACTGCGAATCACACACCGCTTTGTTCGTCTACTATGCCTATCATTTATATAGACCTGTGTACTATTTCCTTACTGCAGCTCCAGTAACCACATTCAGTATGCTAACCGTGCCCACTCCTCTGAGTTGAAAACCCACTAGTCCTATTCAATGCACAATAAATGTCCACTTATTAAATAAATGTAAAAAAATAAAATAACAAATACACGCCGTTCATTTTAATTGTTACGGATGGGTTCTAAAATACTCAAGATTCTTGTTTGGAAATTAATATTAATTAGATTATTTAATCCAAACTGCACAACAATTTATTTCATTGGTAAATATGCTACTGGTTCAATAATGTAATACTTCCTATTACATAAAAAGTGTATTGGGTATTTTACACCTTTCATTAATTGAATCAAGTCTTAGATAAGTGAGTTTGCAAACAAGGAAAATACTGTTAAACACTTCAACCTATCTGAGGTTGTGCTATTTGATAATAGAAGTCCTTGACAATTTGGCTTTGTTTTTTCAAGGTAATCCTTACAAATAAAGTTACACAAGTGGTTGTTTAAAGGGCCAGAAGCCATAAAGCCAAGGTGGAAAACATTTGACTAAATGACACAATTATTATCGTGTGCCTGAAAACTGCCTGGTATAATATTACTGAACAAATAATTCTCTCTGAACACGGCATTGGATATATTGTTAGCAAAAACATACATCACTATAGTCTATAGCTTTTATCTGTCTGCTAATTGTATGAAAAAGTAAAAAACCTAGAATAGTTACAGCAGCAATCTAGGAGAGAGCCCTCACAATAAAGACTAGCTTGTTTCACTGATATATTACCTATGACTGCATCACTTTAATATATTGTTTCTAATAAATCCAATTTATAGATGGGACCAGTGGCGGCTGGTGAAGTGTTAAGATGATGGCATGCCAGTCTCCTCCACCACTTGAATTTTACTCCTCCTTATACAGTATAGAGCAGTGATGGCGAACATTTTTGAGCTTGAGTGCCCAAACCCCAATACAAACCAACTTTTATTCCATAAAGTGTCAACACGGCAATTATACACACTGACACTCAGATACACAGACACTCACAGATACACAGACACCCTTAGAGCTCTCCCTTCCCCTCCTGTCCTTAGTTCTCTCCACTGTCACCCTGTGAGCTCCCCTGCCCCACTGTCCCTTAGTGCTGTCTCTTCTCCCCTCCTTCAGAGCTGTCCCCTCCGTCCTTAGAGCTCTCCCTTGCCCCCTGTCCCTTAGTGGTCTCTTCTCTCCCCTCATTTAGTGGTCACTTCTCCCCCCTTTAATGGTCACTCCTCTCCCCCTCCCCTTTAGTGGTCACTCCTCTCCCCCCCTTTAGTGGTCACTATTCCCCCCACCCCTTAGTGGTCTCTCTGCCCCCCCTTTAGTGGTATCTCCCTCCCTTTTAGTGTTCCTCTCTCTCCCCCTCCCCTTGGTGCTAACCCCTCTCCCTGTTGTGCCACCTACCTCCCTTTGTAGCGTAGCAGGCCAGCGCGGACCCCAGTACAGGAGCTTCTGTTTCCTGTACCCGGCCGGACTGAAACTAAGTGCTCTCTCAGTGAGCACTCCTCCTTTCCCTCCCTCTCTCATTACTGGTTCAGAGTGCACACCTGCGCTCGGAGCCGGTTAAATGGACCAATCAAAATCTCTATGAGAAGCCTTAAGTTGGACTACAGCGCAACTCCCGTTACATCAGAAGGGGTGTTCCAAGTAGCACTGGGAGCTTTGCCCGCAGATGGATTAAGGTAAGTAAAACCTTCATTTAGAACGATTATCAAGCATTTGGGGATCAAGGAGGCCCAGAGGAATAATGAAAATAGGGCATTATTCACTGATTTTTTAAAAGGGTTGGAGATTCATTAAGGGTCACGCTGATATACCTCTTTTTGCTTTAGACTTGCCAATTTGGGTATCACTAATGACAGAAGTTGCATCACCGACATGCCCCCTTTAAACTTTCCCCAGTCTTCACGTTTTTTTCCTCTCCCATGATGACTTCCCCTCTTTTCAGCCACACTGTCCTCGGACGAGTAACATTTAGAAACAGAAAGGAACCTATATTCCCAAATGAAATGTTTTTATTCTTTAATCTATATGTTGCCTTTAAGATGATACTCATCTGCTAAAGAGAGTTTTGATGAAAACTCTGTTATACGCTGATCAGCCACAACATAATAACCACTGACAGGTGAAGTAACTAACATTGATTATATTGTTACATGTTCAAGTTTTGAAAGCAGGAAAACTGGGCAAGCGAAAGGATCTGAGTGACTTTGACAAGGGCCAGATAGTAATGGCTAGGTGACTGGGTCACTGCATCTTCAAAACGTCAAGTCTTGTTGGGTGTTCCTGGTATGCAGTGGTTAGTACCTCTCAAAAGTGGTGCAAGGAAAGACAACCAGTGAACCAGCATCAGGGTCATGGGCACCCAAGGCTCACTGATGCACGTGGAGAGTTAAGGTTAGCCATCTGGCCACAATAGGGGGTATCAGAACACACAGTGTATCACAGTTTGCTGCGTATGAGGCTGCATACTGCAGAACGCTCAGAGTGCCCATGATGAACTTGATCTACCACAGAAAGTGCTTCCAATGTGGACGTGAGAGTCAGAACTGGACCATGGAGGAATAGAACAAGGAGCCTGGTCTGATAAATTGTGTTTTCTTGTAGATCAGGTAGATGCCGGGTTTGTTTATTGCGTTTACCTGGGGAAGCGATGGCCGCAGGATGCACAATGGGAATGAGGTATGCTTTTGGAGGCAGTGTTATGCTCTGGGCAATGTTCTGCTGGGAAACATTGGGTCCTGGCATTCATGTGGATGTTACATTGACACATACGGCCTACCTAGAGAATGGTGCAGACCACATACACTACTTTATGGCAATGGGGTTCCCTGATGGCAGTGGCCTCTTCAGTTCAGCTCAAATGAGCTACCGAAACCAAAAAGTAACATGATCTGTTGTCTGATTGGAAGCTAAGTGGGTATAACCAGGTTAATTTATAAAAAAAGAATTTCTATTGAAATCTGCACTTTTTGCAAAATGAAAAAAAGAGGACACACTCTTCACATATAAAGCTTTTCAGCAAGCTAAAGTTATTTAGGGATCTGGAGTGTCCCTTTAAAAGATCTGCTGCTAATGTGCCAGATACAACAGAACACGTTTAGTGGTATTGTTGAGATACATCAAAGCTGTTTTGGCAGCACAAGGTAACCTACATGAAATTAGCAGGTGCATTTAAAGTTGTGGCTGATATATAGGCCAACATTTTCAAATTGATTTGCAATATCACCACATTATATTGTTTGGTAAACAGACCTCAAATTGTTAGATCCATTGCAAATTCTAAGAAAAAGGGCAAAGTTTGATGATTGAATAAATATTCACAGGAGCTCATGCCCATTACTCAATGGAAACCTGGGAAGTAATGAGAATGGCAGCCCAAAAGGCAGTGCTACGGAATCATTTCTTCACCCTTTGAGTCTCCATGACATGTTAATGGGTTCATATTGTTTGGACAAGGCACATTATACTGATTGGATCTCAGAAAACTTTACTGTAAGACATTTTTCATGGCATCATTGCATTAAAATGCAGCTCAGTTTGTTTAATATTGGAATGGAATCCCGTATTAATATGGTAGTCTGGGTTTATCCTCTGTCCGTACTCCCACCTCTAACGCTCGCCTCCAAGACTTTTCCAGGGCTGCACCTCCTTTGGAACTCCCTTCCCTTCTCCGTAAGACTTTCAGCCAGTCTCCACTCATTCAAAAAATTATTGAAAACTCACTTCTTCAAGAAAGCATATCAATTAAACTGTTAGCAGGTTTTTATCCCCCACCCTCCATGACTCCTCTCCTGCAACTGTCAAACATTACCTACTAAGCCCTCCGTGAATACTTTTCTAACAACCTACTTCATACCCCTACTTTTACCCTTTGTGTCACTATACCCCACTCCCTCTAGAATGTAAGCTCATTGAGCAGGGCCCTCCACCTCTCTGTTTCTGTACGTCCAGTTGTCGGTTTACAATTACATGTCTGTTAGTCAACCCATTGTACAGCGCTGCGGAATCTGATGGTGCTATATAAATAATATAATAATCACAATATTACTACGTAATGCAATACTTGATGAAAAGGGCCCATGGTTTTGTTGGCCATCCCAAACTCCATCATTTTTATGTTTAAACTGTCAACTTTTCAATTTATGGGTATCAGATGCCTGTTGACCCACTGTATTCTGCATTTTCTACATACCTCCCAAGTGTCACTATTTAGAAGGGACAGTCCCTATTTCTGTCCCTTTTTTTCAATCCCAATATCCATCTTTTCTAGGAGCTCCATATTGTTGGTGTATATGAGTGTATAACAAAGCTCAACAACAATAATACAGTAATATATCAATCTGTGTAAATTACATACATGGTTACTGTTATAAATTACATTTTAGTTATATAAACTGTTATTAATAAGTCACCTAAAATTTATCAGAACAGCAATGTCCCCGTTACACACCCGCTCACACCCCTAAATTTAAAGTTTCTCTCTTTGTCCATTTTAAAGTTTTGAGGTATGTTTTTATTCTTTACATTTAATGCAATGTCAGCTGTAAAAACTCAATTCATCTCATTTAAATGAAGTCAGAATCTAGCACTTTAAATAATGTTTAAATCTTTCTAATTAGCTATAAAAATAACCAAAATTGAAAGAAACCTCCAAATGAATAAAGTAGAAACTGCAATAAACGTTCTGTACTGACAATCCACAGCGGCAAACCACTGTGAGCACATTATTGTATTGTGAATTTGCAGTGGTAGCTTGTTTATACTGCAGATGGATCTCAACCTGTTGCCCAGTACATTGTGTGCAGTGAACGCACACACATATATATCACACACTGTGAGTGAACTACAGGTATGGCAGCTTTGCATGTTCAGACAGAAGTCTACAGTTACTGAGTGTGCACAACTGTCTCCCCCTGTACATCACACACACAACCAGCCAGGTATATATTCTATTCCACGTAGACCGGATAACCCGTTCTACGTGTTCTTTAAACTGGCATTAATAGAGTATTAGTCGAAAACAATGTCAGCTTTCATTTCTCCCACAAACATAGCCTACTGCATGAAAGTGAAAAAAACAAAGGCTGCTGTTTTCCTCTGTACCTGTTTGTTTTGGGGCTGCCTGGAGATGTTCAGCCCGTATGCTGTGTTGCTGTAGGATTGTATCCTCTGTGTTCCCCTCTGGGTGCATTTTGATGGAGTATTGTTGACCAGGTCCCAGGATGTAGGAAAGCAGGGGATGTTTGTAAGGTCATGTAGAAGATGCAGAAAGTGGGGTTCTCTTGCAGGGCATGGTTTAATATAGCCTTACTTCGTGCATAAAGTGCTGGTGCTAACAAGTTTTGTTTCTATTTCAAAATACTTTGCCCTTCAGTGACACAGGCAGCATACTATTCATAGCAGCCTATTACAGACAAGAGGGAGGGATCTAGGCAAATTACTGTTTTGTCTGTGACACAAACAGTTTGATACCGGCTTAAAGGGCATTCTTTTGTGATTTTTAATTCAGCAGTGCACACCTACAAACCTTTACTTTGCAGGACTAGCCAAATGCTACAGTTTGCACTCTGCTTTTTCCACCTGAACTATATAGAGAATGTTAATGATGTGGCCAGATTAAAAACAATAGCCCCAGTTTGTAAACATTTCAACCTAAATTTCTGCAAGAGTTTAATCCTTGGAGTTATTTTTTAATTACTTCAGAGGGATACTCTCCCTTAATAAAATCTTGACAGACAGATTGAAATAATAAAGTTGTGTGTTTCCCCCTTTCAGGCTGAAGGGCACACAGGCCAATAAAAATGCAGGGTACATTGACAATTTATTGTACGTAGCTTACTAAATTTGTGATGCAGGTTTTCATTGGTTGCCTGTAAGGACAGCATGATTTGTAGAATGTTTGGGTTCCCAGGCGATATGTATATCCATAACACAGGGCAATGGAAGCATGGATGAGAAAAAAGTTTGTAAACACGTTGATAAAGTATGAAGATATCATTTGGCATGTGCTAAGTAGTAAACACAATGCTGAATGTTTGTAATGCTTTATAAACATGTTACTTTACTGAGCTAAAATTATTGTATTATACTCACTACTGAATAGATCAAATCATATCTGTGATCTTAAAAAAAATCTTTAGTGAGATGATCATCATTTTAAGATGCATATGTAACCCCATATCCAGCCTTAAAATGTTTTTTTATGTTAGTTGCTCAGTATCTTCACATATACATATTTTAAGTGTTAATCACAGTAATGATATAGGGTCTTGAACTCTCTGACTGTAACACAGCCATACAAAGTCACGTCAGTCTGTATAACACACAATTTTCCTAAAGTCCTCCCTATTGCCGAACTGACCAGATCTGTCACCTAGTGCCTGGAAGAAAAAGAGTGCAGCGAAAGCACGTTATTAACCCCTAAAACACTATAGCATGCTGAAGCGCTTTAGCTGTTAACTGCATACCCGCCTTGTCATGATTCATAAAAGTGTAAATTTCAAGAAAAACCTGCACTTTTATTGATTTGGGCCAATGTAGGAACCCTCCCTAACACTCTAGTCAGTCTGACAGCCAGGAGGGCTTCCTGCTTCACTTCACTTGAATAATCGCTCAAGCAGAAGTGAAGGGCATCCAAAGGGAAGCATTAGCCAATGCTTGCTTTTAAGAAGCATTCTATTGATCACCATATTTGGTTGGCGCACCACGACCCACCAGTTTTCTTTGTCAGGAAGAGTAAACTGTTGTCATGCCATTCTTTCCATGGCGGAGTGGAGCAGAAATGTGCACTTTATTACTTTTATTCATGGAGGGCAATTGGCATTTGGATAGTTAAAGGAATACCTCAAATGTTAAAACCTAATATCATTTTTAATATTAAATTGTTCCTTTGACATTGCTATTTCGAAGAGTTTCGGGGCATTCAAAGTGTACCTGTCATCAACGTAGGCTTATTTTAAAGTACAGAAAATGACATTTATACATTGTGTTAGCAAATTTGATATTAAATTTATTGTTTGTAAAGAAAATCCTAGCCTGGGAGAGAACACTATTTAAAAATAGTTATTTCTGTCACCTCTCATTGACAAATAATTGACTGGCAAGAAAGAGCAGAAAAGTGTAACACTCACAATTATGAAATAATGGGGGTATGGTGAGTGATATCTTGAAAATTAAAACTAAAGGGAATACATCATGTATCTCTGTGATAAATTATGTATTCAGTGTATTTCGAGCTAAGTTAAGTAACCTTTAAAATGCTTATGCAAGTTCTTGAATAGCGCTCAGCTCCTGGGCAGGCTTAATGTGCTGCTCTCTCAGGCAGCCTGTTTTTCTGGCATTCATTTCTGGTTGTAAGAGCAAAGGCTGGCATGAGAGATATAGGCATTGCTTAATATTTCAGAATTTCAGGAAAGCTCCAGTTATTAAATGGGCAGCAGGCGTCCATTATAGACAAGATTTATTCTTAAAGAACATCTGAAAATGTATTTCCACAAACTATTTTAAAATTCCTGTTAGGAATGTACATATATGCAAATTATTTTCATGTAAGCAAGGTATAGTAAGCTTATTTGTCATTGAAGAGGTAGCCATCTTGGAGTTTCATCAATATTTTCCAACCTCCACAATTATAGATTAAAAAAAGAAGTCATCAGAGTCTGTGATTTACAGAGTATGTACCAGCCTTCAACTGTTCAAGAAACAGTAAAACGTTTGTTAGTCCAAAATTTTTTTTTTTACATTTTTTTTAATTAAAAAAAAAACTTACATAAAGTTTGAAAAATGATCAAAACAAGATATAGACGAATTTAACACATAATGGTATATGGAAGACTTTTGATGACATGGACTCTTTAAGGCACAGTGAAAAATGTATCCAGCTCTGTGGAATTTGTTGGCCTTATATAATAAAATGATAATAATTAACAGGGAGTTGAAATCTCACTTGCAAGGCTTAAGAACACAAACAGAACAAAATATTAAACATCAACACAATTTTAAAACAAAACGCTTGCAATTCCTATACCAGTCCAATGCTCAGCTCTGTTTACCGCAGTGTCAGCTGTTCGATTAGTGGAAGGTGCAGCGGTGCTAAACACTTTTTGTAAAAAAAAAAAAAAAAGGAATTATGATGGTCTTTTAAAGACTAATGATAAGTGTGCTAGAAAAAGTATCTTATGTTTGTCACAATTGTATCTGCATGATACCCATTTATTTGCTGTCTGGGTCTGAAAATGCTGAGAGGCTGAGTAACTAATCATGTTGAGATTTTGAGAGATTATGAAAAGAATTAGACACCCATTTTTTAAGTAAAGACCCCTCACACGGCCGCTGCATGCTTCAAGCATTAGGCTACCTAAAAAAATTGGCCTGCGTATTTTACTGTTGTCATTTGGTAACAGCATGGGGGGTGGAGATGGATCCCTTTAAAGTAGTTTTGTGCCAAATGTGTGTATCTACAGGTTTATATTGTTAAACAGGGCATGACGTCTCACTAGGTCAAGTGTTGAGAATATGGGGTTACACCAGGGGGAAGCACACGACCATCTTAGATTTCACCAACTACCAATGTAGGGCAACAACAACTAAAACTGTTATATTTCAACAGGGAAAGCTTTAACTGAAAGCCAGCATGCTGCTTGCCAATGAATCTACGTCTTTTAACTAGTACACCATTGCCATGGTAAATAAAAACAAACAAAAACAACTTCTACTGATTACTTATGGAGAAACATACACAGGACTTGACTGTGCACAGCTAATGCAATTTACTAAGCTAAGAAGTTATGCACATGAATCAAGCAGTTTACCACTCCTAAAATTCATGAATATAATAGGTAACATATATCAATAAAAAATATTTACATATTAACACAGATTCCTGTAAAATATGTAAGTAAAACATAAGCAGAGCATATTAATACATATTAACTGTAAAGAATTGTCAGTCCAATGATTTGTTAGTGAGATTAACATAAAGTAATATATATGTCCATATTTTGTTACTGTGTATATAAATGCAGCCACACACAAAATAAATAAATTTATAAAACACTAATGAAAAGAAAAAAAGAGAGAGTGCCTTGGAAACATTTTTGTCTTTTGTCCAAAAAAAAAACTTGCTCCAAAAAAATACATTAGGAACCAGTGACATGGTAAAATAATTCTAAATCATTGATATTTTTATATTACAGTGACTGGCTAATCATATAATCTAAAATCCAAATACACAATACTTCTATTTTTGGAAAAAGATTTAACTTTATCTCTGCCTTTCATTGGGGGTATATTAAAATCCGACATCAGTAACCGTTAAATAATGTTTTGGGTTTTTACAGCAGGAATTACAACAGTTTTAAAGTGATTGGATACAACATTAATACATAATTTTACTGTCTGTAATGCTGCCAAAGTCAGAAAACATTATTGAGTTATTTAAAACTAGGCTCAACTGGTTAATACAAGCAACATGGAAGCTTCAGTGTTTAAGTGTTCTTGGTGCAAGAACCCGGTATATGCAGGGTTTTAGTATGCACATACAGAGATATTTACAGGCAGTAGTGGCTGATGTAGTTTAAATTAATAGGGCCCTGTTACCCCCTCTTCCCCCCATATTTGTTGGGCTCTACCCATTTAAAGGGACTTTCCAGTGTCAGGAAAACAATCCGTTTTCCTGGCACGGCAGGTCCCCTCTCCCTCCCACCTCCCATCCCCGGTTGCTGAAGGGGTGAAAACCCCTTCAGTCACTTACCATAGGCAGCGACATGTATCATATGTATATAGACTGATCCCGCCCGCCGGCTGGGAAGACCTAATGCGCCTGCGCGTCAATGCAGTGCATGCGCATTAGGCCTCTCCATAGGAAAGCATTGAAAATGCTTTTCAATGCTTTCCTATGGGGATTTTAGCGACGTTGGAGGTCCTCACACAGCGTGAGGACGTCCAGCAACGCTATAGCACAGATAATCTGTGCTATGGACTAGGAAGTGCCCTCTAGTGGCTGTCTAGTAGACAGCCACTAGGGGAGGACTTAACCCTGCAAGGTAATTATTGCAGTTTATGAAAACTGCAATAATTACAGTTGCAGGGTTAAGGGTAGTGGGAGTTGGCACCCAGACCACTCCAATCGGCAGAAGTGATCTGGGTGCCTGGAGTGTCCCTTTAACCCCATGAGATGGTATGTTCTGGTCAAAACCAGCTGCATTCCCAGCCATCAGTTAAGGGGAGAATGGAAACTGTAGATGACAGACACATGTTTGTTTTCTAATACACACTTATCAGTAGTTCTTAAAATACCAATCGATTTTATTTAACTTTTTTTTTTAACAAAAACTGGTCGGACATCGCCCCACCTTCCCCTATTTACCAACCTCCACTGCTTACAGGAATAATCATGAAAGTGAGAATTCAAAGTGATTTTAACCCCTATGCACCCCTCACA